CAAGATTTTAGGAAAATATGTTCAAATGATATAGTATCTAAAATGAGATCAAATTACTCCTCATCCTTTTGTATCCTTGTCTTCCTGCCACTATCCCAGCAAAGATTAAATAGGAAACTCCAAAGCTAGTACTTTCTAATTCAAAGTACTACCCAACAATAAGTTAAAAGCTCTGTTTCACACAAACATGCTCAGCATCTTCTATATAATTTAACAACGTGCGGGAATAAGAAATTCTCTGCAAAGAAATGGGATACTATGGACTTCTTAAAGTCTATGTGGTTTCACCTGGATAATTTACTAACCCAAGAGCTGCAGATTCTAATCATGCTTGACCTCCTTGATGGACTGTCCACCTTATTTTCTTCCTGTAGGGTCTGAAGTGGATAACTTGACTTCCTGGTGATTTGTAGATTTCAGTTCTTAACACACTAATGAGCACTGCCCCTTCTGCATCCATTTGCTTCATACTTTTTAGAGGTACTGCTACTGACATTAGAATCAATCAACCAACCAATCAAGTGTGGTTTGTGATTCACCCTGCCACCATGAAACAAAACACTAGGTTTTTGTGTGTTTTTTTTAAGCTTTCAGTACAGCTATGTTTATATACATAATGATTCTCAACTACATGCATGTAAAGGTTACTAAAATCATATGCGTTTACTAAGAAGTACAGTTCTTGGATGCATTTAGCTTAAACTATGTCCTTAAGTAAAAATGTTAGCAAAGCAACAAATAATTATTATTCAATATTCGCATCTCCTTTCTCCCAAGGGAAAAATACTAGTTCCCCAAAATATCTATTTATTTATTCATTTACTCTATCCTACAATATGCTCAAAAGGATTTCAAAGGTATAATCGCAATACTATCACCAACAACAAGCTCAAGATTTCTTTGCAGTTAATTCTGTCCTCAGGATATATTCTACTAAGAATAAAGAGTCAGAGTACTAAGTTCAAAGGTGATTGAATGAATTATTTTCTCTGTGTGGTTATGTTATCAATTTTATATACAGTTAGGATCATTTCTTCCTGTTTTTATATGATACTAGGATTTGCTTTTTCCATCCTCTTTATTTTGGAATATGACTGAGAGTCCAACCACATGAAAATGGACAGAAATGTCTCATCTCCCATCTCTGCATCCACGACAGGCAAGCATTTTCACCAGATTCTGGTTTACCCTTCCTAGAAGTTTGTTTTCTATTTTGACCAAAAAAAAAAAAAAAAACCTATTTATATATAAATGTTCTATTCCTCCTTCTTTCTTATACAAGCACTATCATGCTGTACACTCGTTCATACTTTGCTATTTTTACTTAATATATCCTGGAAATTCCTCCATATCAATCACAGAGTTTTTTTCTCATTCTTTTCTACAGTTATAAAATATTAGCGTAGATATGCTAAAATCTATTCAACCAATGTTCCTATACACGTATGCTTAAGTTGCATCGTTTTGTATTTGTGGAAGTGTATATTCAGAGTAAATTTCTACAAGTGGGATCGCTGGACTGAAAGTAAATATACATGTACTTGTTCACTACTGTATCTCCAGCATCCAGCAGCAGGACCACAAATAATAACCACTTAATACATTTTTATTGGATTGAACTGAAATATGAATTTTTTTGAGGACTTTAAAAACCTTGTATTCATTTTCACAACTCTCCTGCTTCTGTCTCCTGGGGACCCAGACTTTGACCACTTCCCACCTTCTTCACAGAACATACAGAGAGGGCCTAGTGCCTGGGGGCTTCAAGCACACAGCCCTTGAAATGCAAAAAGTTGATTAGTGTTTCTGTAATCTTGAGATACAGTGTACTTCTAAGCAATATACTCAACTAAAGGAAGGTAAAGAGCCTGACCTGAGTCCTCTTCTGTACCAAAACCACAGATTGACATGGGCTATATTTACTCTGTTAAAAGCCCGGGGAAGGGGGGGGGCAGGGAGGAAAACTGAAAAACGTAATAACTAATAGGTTATCTTAAATAGAGAAAGCTGATGTTTTTACAAAGGCAAAGAAAAATTGTAAAAAAAAATAATATAGCAATGTCTGCTTAATAGGTTAGTTGTCATTGGAGTAAATAAGACAATTTATATTAAACATCTTGTATCTTAAATAGAGTATTACTATCTTATAATATTCTAGAAAGAAATGGAGAACACAGAATTGTAAAAACTCCAGACATTTCATTTTCATCATAAACGTTCACTGTCTTAAGTATTCCAGACAAGGCTACAGCTGAAGAAAATTTAGATGACACTACCATGCTGTGAGGTAGTGTCTCACTGTAGAGGCACCCTCTGCCCATGGACTCTGGAGCAGGTACCCAGCTCTAGCACTCAGTGGCTGTGAGACATCAGGACGTGACTCACCTTCTCTGGGCTTCAGTTTTCTCATGTGTAAAATAAGAATAATAACACTTACTGCTTCATAGACTGTGAGAATAAAAGGTGTTAAAACAGAATGTTTAGAACAGTGACAGGCACCTAAGTAGTTTACAGACTCTGAGAGACCTGGATGGGAAGAGCTCTACTACTCAACAGCTAAGTGACTTTGGGAAGTGATCTAAGCTTTCTGAACCACAATCTTCCTTGTTAGTAACATGGAACTGTTCTAACCGCCGAGCTTTCTAAAGCTTCAAGAGAACCAAGGCACCTGGCGGACCCTGGTGCTTGAGGAAGAAAGGCTGGAGATACACATGCCAAAAGGAGAAAACGCTAATGATGAGCAACCCCTCCTCCTTAAATGAGGACACAAGGAGCTCTCCTGTTGCCATGGTTTCAAATTTCTTGAAACAATGTATTACTCTAAGAACAATACCAGTTCAGACAGACTCTAAGAATCCTGTTTATAGTTCCTAAATGAAGGCTTAGTTTTTTTCTCAGACATATTTTTATTTACACACAAATAATAATTTCTCAAGGATGAGGTGAAGTGCCAAAGGACTACCTGTCCATGCTAATTAGCACTTTGTGTAAAAACTATACCATGTGAAAAATAAAACCTATTATATTGGTATGAATTATAATTAAGTTAAAACATTTAAAAAGTTAAATTTTAACTGTTTAATAATAACTACGTTCATCTAGCAAACATTCATAACTATGCAACACGTGTTATGATGTAAAACTTATTCATGAAATAAAACTATTTTTCTACACAACCAAGAGAAAAATCAATTGTGTATCTTATAAGAAAAAAGATTTCTTTCTTTTGTTTTTTTTTTTAAAGATTTTATTTATTTATTTGACAGAGAGACAGCGAGAGAGGGAACACAAGCAGGGGAAGTGGGAGAGGGAGAAGCAGGCCTCCTGCAGAGCAGGAAGCCCGATGCAGGGCTCGATCCCAGGACCCTGAGATCATGACCTGAGCCGAAGGCAGACGCTTAACGACTGAGCCACCCAGGCGCCCCGAAAAAAGATGATTTCTAAAATATCAAAGAGCAGACGGAATTCAGGGCCACGTCGCTACAGCATGCGGTACTTATGCATCAATGCTGTCTACTGGGGCACCTACTTGACACGGCACACAGTTTAAACAGCTTTAGTATAAATTAAAAGCAAAATCAAGAAGAGTTCATATCTGTAGACTATTACTACACCATTCTCTATAATTCTAAAGCCTAGGACTAAATAAAATACATACATGAAAAATGGGGAGGGGCGCCTGGGTGATCCAGTTGGTTAAGTGACCAACTCTTGATTTCAGCTCAGGTCATGATCTCAGGGTCGTGAGATCTATCCCCGCACTGGGCTCCGTGCTCAGCATGGAATCTGCTTGACATTTCTCCCCCTCTCCCCCCACACTACCCCTCCCCCACCCTCTTTTTTTCTCTCTCTCTCTAAATAAAATCTTTAAAAAATATGGGGCTTGAAAAATAAGGAAAACTGTATGCTAACAGTACTTTAAGAAAAAATTTTTGCAATCTTAAAAGTTTTAATATATGAACTATACACTAAATGCTTTGTTAGTTAGTATTTCATTTATATGTTACAATAATTGTTTCAGTTATACCGAGTTTTACAAAACTGTATAATTTCTTGGTACTATCTTTTTTCTAAGAGATGTTTATTTAGAGCAGCAATTAAACACTTTGAAGGTATTAACTATTCTGGCAAACAAAAAGGATTATAATTTCATTTGTGAATTTGATAAATTGTCAACTCTTAAAACTTTACATACTTGACATTTCGCTGAACCTTAACTGCGTATCTTTTGAGAAAAAATTTAATTAATTTCTTATCAGAAGAAAAAATCTTAAAAGTACTTCGAATGACTGACCTTAAAGGAACAATAAATTCCTTTATTGCTTGATGCAAAGAATGTTTTCCAGCTTATATTCAGTTTCAAAAGTCCTCCAGATAACAAAACTGAAAATATCTGTACTAAATGATTTAAAAAATTTAACCTCCTTGGGGCGCCTGGGTGGCTCAGATAGTTAAGCATCTGCCTTCGGCTCAGATCATGATCCCAGGGTCCTGGGATCAAGCCCCACATCAGGCTGCTGGCTTGGCAGGGAGCCTCTTCTTCCCCTGCTCATGCTCTCTCTCTCTCTCTCTCTCTCTCTCTCTCTGTATCTCTGTGTCTCAAATGAATAAATAAATAAATAAAATTTAACCTTAATATTCTAAGGAAAGACAGAATAAAAAATAAGATGGAAAAAATAATAACATTTCAAGATTTGCATTTTGTATGTATAAATACACAAAACTAAAAGGACTATTAATTAAACTTTTTTTACCATGTAAGTTACCCTGAAAAGGGAAGACTATATCCAACTAAAGAGGTAAATCCTACATGAGACATTTACCTGTGCTAATACAACTCCAAATTATAATGGAATTAATGAGAATGGTTAGTTGAATACAGAAGTATACATTTCATGCATATTATTTTGTATTCATTTTGCTTTATATGCATTAACTTTTTTCTCAAAAGTCAACTCAATCTAAGATAAAGTTAAATATCAAGAGGTCAGACAAAGTACCTTTCATAGATGGTTTTTAATGTCATTTGATCTGGAATACCTTCAGTCTCTTCCAAATATAATATGAGCCATGAAGTTCGGTATGGCCACTGCTCAGTAAGGTTGATCCAGCTAGCAAGCCTGTCCCAGTTGAAACTAATCTGATTGGCTCTCAGTAATCGTCCTTTAAAAAATATAAAAACATTTTAAAATTAATAGATGTGTAATATTATATTAAGCAAAACATTTAGCATATTGATAAATAATTTAAATATTTAAAAGTTGCAATTTAATTTACACTACAAATTCAAACCTACTATTTATATGGCTTCTATAATCCAAAGAGCTGTACTGGAAAAATGCTAGGGATTAAACACAATTCTGTTTAAGTCTAAAGTAATTTTTTTGTGTCATTTGCTACTAGTGTTACATACTGCCATGTACATGCCAGCAAAAATCTTTCAGAATTATGTGTCAGCCAGTCTCAACACTGCCCACAATCAGACAGCAGAACATCAATGCACCCATGATGGACCCCATCCTCTAAAGTACCATTCTAAGTTGATAAGGAAATGATATAGTGCATTAGAAGGTGGTCACTTCTATGAAGTAAATTAATAAAGCAAGGAATGTTGAAGAAGGAAGTGTAATTTTATATAAGGTAACAAAGGAAGGTCCCATTGAAAAGCTGACATTTAAGTGAAGACTTAAAAGGAGATGAGAAAGCCCATTATGCATCTCTCCAAAGAAAGATCATTACATGGCAGGAACGTGCTTGGCATTTTCAGGGAACAGCAAAGAGGTCAGTAAGGGATGGAAGAGGAGAGTAGAAGATGAGGTCAGAGGTAGGGAAAGAGGTAAAGAGAGAGACATCACGTCAAAAAGGGCCTTGTAAGAAACTGTAAGGACTTAAGATTTTTATCTTCAGCAAAATGGGAAGATAATAGAGTTCTGAGCAGAGAAATAACATGATTGGCGTCTATTTCAAAAGGTCACTGTAGCTGCCACATGGAGACTAGACCAGAGGAAAAGTAGGAGCAGGGAGATGTCAGGCTACTGCTATAATTAATACAGATGAGACATAATGATACAAAGGATAAGGGTAGTATGTTACAAATCATGAAAAATAGTTAGATTCTGGATATAGTCTAAACATAGAACTAAAGAATGCACTACAGATTGGAGGCAGTATATGAAAAAAAGACACCAATGTTTTTTTGCCCAAGGAACTGGGAAAAGAATTGGATTAACTGAGATGGGAGACTATAAGTGGATTAAGTTTGGAGCAGAGGATCAGAAGTTCAGTTTTGGACCTGGTATGTATCAGACATATATTAAACACCACTAAATATCAAGTAGGCAACTGGAGAGCAACAAGGTTGAAGATATACATTTGAGAATCTTTTGCATGTAGATGGTATGCAACCCTTTGGGACTAAATGAGATCACCAAAGGAGCTGGTTCAGATTGAAAAGGAAAGAAACAATGACTGCACCAGGGGCACTCTGACACTAAATGGTAAGAGTAGATGAGGTTTTTATGGTACTTATCATTACATGACTTTATATGTTTCTGTCTTTACCAATAGGGCAAGAACTTTATCTTGTTTACTGCTTATCTCCACAATACCCAGACTGATAATCTGGCATATCTAGACAGTCACCATATATTTGTTAAATGCATACAAAGATATTGATAATATGCTAGAACATTTCCACTGTAGAACATAATCAATTTAATAAAGTTTGAGACCTCACTTAAAGGGATTTAAGTAGCAAAAATATTGTACATATATTAGATACAACTTCACTTGCAATTTAGTTCATAGCATGTACCCCAACCTTAGTCTAAAAGCAAATTCCAGCGTAACTATCGTAACAGTGTTAACACTAGTCAATATTACAAAGTACCATTCAATATGATGCAAAGAAACATACACTTATATACTAAATTTATATTTATATGTATTTGTATTTATATGTAAGCATTAACATGGTGAAGAGCTGAATTCTATGCTTGGAATTCCGTCACAGGGCAATAATCTTCAATTTTATTGTCAATATTTTTATTTAAAATATCATTTGAAAACTAAAACGATAGCAGCATATAAAATTTGAATTTCAACATTGTTTTAAAGATTTTATTTATTTATTTGAGAGGGAGAGAGAGTGTGCGTAAGAGCACAAGAGCAGGGTGAGGGAGATGCAGACTCCCCACCAAGCAGGGAGCCCGATGCGGGGCTTGATCTCCAGACTCTGGGATCATGACCTGATCCGAAGGCAGACGCCTAACCGACTGAGCCACTCAGGCGCCCCCAAATTTCAACATTTTAAATTATAAGTTAATTAAGACATCCATGTTCTTGGATTGGAATATTCTATTGACATTTTTACCCAAGTCATCTATAGATTCAATGAAATCTGTCAAAATTCCCAATGACGTTTTTTGCAGAAATAGAAAAACCCATCCTAAAATTCATATGGAATCTCATGTGACACTGAATAGCCAAAAGAATCCTGAAAAAGAAGAACAAAACTGGAGGACTCACACTTCCTTACTTCAAAACTGACTACAAAGCTACAGTAATCAAAACAGTATAGACTGGCATAAACATAGGCATATAGATCAACAGAACAGAGAGCTGAAATAAAGCCTCATGTGTATGGTCAAATGATTTTGACAAGGGTGCCAAGACCATTAGATGGGGAAAGGACAGTCTTTTCAATAAATGGTGCTGGGGAAACTGGAGATCCACATGCTAAAGAATGAAGTTGAACCCCTACCTAACACCATATATAAAAATTAACTCAAAATGGATCAAGTTACCTAAATGTAACTTAAAACAATAAAACACTTAGAAGAAAACATAGGATAAAAATTTCTCAACATTGGATTTGGCAGTACTTTCTTGAATATGACACCAAAGCCACACAAACAACAACAAAAAACAAACTGAACTTCAAGAAAATTTTAAAATTTTGTACACCACAACGCACTATCCACAAAGTAAAAATGCAACTCACAGAATGAGGGAAAATATCTGCAAATCATTTATCTGATAAGGGATTAATATCCACAATATACAGAGAACTTCTAAAACACAACAATAAAAAACCCAAACAACCCAATCCAAAAATGGACAAAGGACTTGAATAAACATTTCTCCAAAGAAGATATAGGAATGGCAATAAGCATATAAAAAGATGCTCAACATCACTATCATTAGGGAAATGCAAATCCAATCTTCAATGAGATACTACCTCTCACCTATTAGGATGGCTACTCTCAAAAAAAAAAAAGAAAAAGAAAAAAGTGTTGGCGAGGATGTAGAGAAATTGGAACCTTTGTGCATTGTTGGTGGGAATGTAAAATGGTACAGCCACGGAAAACAGAATTAGGTTCCTCAAAAAATTAAAAATAGAAATACCATGTGACCCAGCAATTCCATTTCTGAGTATATATCCAAAAGAACTGAAAGTATGGTCTTGGAAAATATTAAGATACACTCATGTTCATACCATCATTATTCACAATAGCTAAAACACTGAAGCAACCCACATGTCCATCAACAGATGAATGGATAAGCCAAAATGTGGTATATACATAATGGAATAGTATTCATTCTTTAAAAGAAAGGAAATTCTACATGCTACAACATGGTGAACCTTGAAGACATTATGTTAAGTGAAATAAACCAGTCACAAAAAGATAAATACTATATGATTCCACTTTTATGAGGTACTTAGTGTAGTAATATTCTGTAGAAACAGGAAGTAGAATAGTGGTTGCAAGGTGCTGAGGAAGGGGAGAAGGGGGAGTAATTATATAACAGGTACAGAGTTTCAGTTTTACAAGATGGAAAGAATTATGGGGATGGATGTTGGTGATGGGTGCACAACAGTGTGAATGCATTTAATACTATCAAACTATACCCTTCAATACGGTTAAGATAGTAAATTTTGTTATGTGTTATTTATTTAACCCAATAAAAAAGAAAAAATCTATCATCTAAAAACTAAAAGTGTACAAAATCTGAATGCCAACATTTTAAATTATAAGTTAATTATACTCAGTCATACAAATTAGCATAAAATTATCTTTATATAAAGAGAAAAATTAAACCTGAGGTGAAATAAAAGATTTTTTAAATCACCAAGTTTTAAAAATAACAGTGTACAACTGATGGTTGATTTTCATTGTCAAAACTAATATAGGTTTTATTAGATACACTTAAGGCAAATAAAAGTGGTATACAGCAGTATAAACATATGAACACAGTACATCCTTTTGTTTCTGAAAGTGAATTGCTTTGCTAATGTGTTCAAGTTTATTACCTACCACAAGATAGTAAGAAACAAAAGTTACCTGTCACAGAAACAATATTAAGTAATCTTCTCATGGTCTGAGGACTTATGTCACTGAACCAGTCCTCGGTAACCAGCAGTTTTGTAAGATCAAAGGACATCTGCCGAGTAATGGTCCGCTGCATCTGCCTTCTTCGGTAAGTATCCTGAAGGAGTTTAAGAACAATGAGAATGAACTAATACTCCCAAGTCTGAGAACTTAAGGCTTTTTGAGAAATTAATATATGTTTATGATGACAACAAAAATAATCTAAAATTTTAGTCAAAGAGGAAGATTATATACTAATAAGTCATTATTATTATTATTCCCTGAGGCAGAATCTTTACAGAACAGTTATAAAGTAATATTAGCAGCAACTGCATCAAATGGTGTGATTTAACTTCAGATGTATTTTGATTTATAGTCGTACAATTAGAGAAAGCTAAATGCCTTTAAGATTATAAATAAACAGAATTATGTAAAGAGAATTCAAGTCAAACTCTTATAGGAGTTCCAATTTCATAGGGACCCTGAAATAATAAAACAAATAAATTCTTGTCTAGTTGTAAGAATTCAGCATCTTGATGTTTAGGTTATTTTTAAATGTGTGACAACTACCCTCGCATATGTATAAGAATTAAAGGTGCTCCTGAGATTAAGAATTCCTTCATTCTTAATCTCAGGAAACAAACTGAGGGTTGCTGGAGTGGTGGGGGAGTAGGAGGGATGGGGTGGCTGGGTGACAGACACTGGGGAGGGTATGTGCTATGGTGAGCACTGTGAGTTGTGCAAGACTGTTGAATCACAGATCTGTACCTCTGAAACAAGTAATACAATATATGTTAAAAAAAAAAAAAGAAGAAGAAGAAGAAGAAGACAGCAGGAGGGGAAGAATGAAGGGTGGAAATCAGAGGGGGAGACGAACCATGAGAGACGATGGACTCTGAAAAACAAACTGAGGGTTCTAGAGGGGAGAGGGGTGGGGGGATGGGTTAGCCTGGTGACGGGTATTAAAGAGGGCATGTTCTGCGTGGAGCGCTGGGTGTTATGCACAAACAATGAATCATGGAACACTACATCAAAAACTAATGATGTAATGTATGCGGATTAACATAACAATAAAACATCTAAAAAAAAAAAAGAATTAAAGGCGCTCTAGTGGGCAGAGTGGGATAGAGAATCCCTTCTAATCTGAGGAAGAATAAGCACAACAAAGGTGAGTTCTCATCTGAAGTCATGGCAGATGCAAGCACAGGGAGCCCAAAAGGCCAAACTACTAAGAGACAAATTCGAAATGTGAAATTATACCCTCCTTCTAATTTAGTACTATCAAGTGTCATTCATATTAATTTTGCACTCATATTTATATAGGTTAGAGACATAAAATCAAAACATTAAAATGTCACTGAAGACACATTTTATATAAAATGTCCTAAATGTAATGGTAGCAAACTAGGAAAAAGAAAACAGTGCCGATGCTAGCCCAATGTTAAGTGGCACTATCACTGTAACTTACCTGCAAGTGGACGTCTTCCTGTCTTGTAACACTCTCTTGATCTATACACAAAAGAGGGTTCTAAGAGTGGGGTAGGACAGGGAAAACACGAGTGTTCGAGGAGAAACCTGAGGTGGCTGGGCAGGACACACAATCACTGTGTGGGTGTAAAAGAAAGGGTCACAACCTCACAGATATCAGGGAAAGAGGAAAGCCAGCAGGAAGAGCATGGAGCTCTTCTCACACCACAAGCCTCTTTCCGCCGTACAGCTCTGGTGGCAACAGGCACCTGGAACAGGTAACAACCTAACCTGGAATGAATACAGGGCTTCTCAACCCCGGATGACATCATCTGGAGAGCTTTCAAATCTCACTCCCAAAGATTCTGATTCAGCTGCTCTGAGGAAGGGCAGCTGGGAACAGGTTAGGAGAGGAATGGGACTACCACACAATGCACAGTTGTTACGGGCTCTAGGCTCACGTGTTTCCTAAAATGCCACCTGAAGCCAAAAGGAAATTCAATAATACAATTTATTTGATGAGTTCGATGCAGTATTTACAGTAGCACATATTTACGTAGTGTCACCTCAGCTCGACCTTAACAGCAGCAGCACAAACACACCGCTCACAACAGCGGCATCTTACCCGCCTGTTAAGGGCTGTCTTGCTCCCGAGTTTAGTCATCTCTCCAAGGCTGTTTTGTGAAACTCTTCTGTCAGCATCTTCCTGTATCCCTTAAAGAATGTGTCGAGAGAGCACCACTGTATTAAAATTCTGTTGTACATGATATTTATTTAATTATTTTAAAGATTTTATTTATTCATGAGAGACAGAGAGAGACAGGCAGAGGCAGAGGGAGAAGCAGGCTCCCCGCAGAGCAGGGAGCCCGATGAGGGACTCGATCCCAGGACCCCAGGATCACAACCTGAGCCGAAGGCAGGCACTTGACCGAAGGTGCCCCTGCTGTACATGATGTTTAAAGAAAAGTGAAATACCAACAGTATTTTTCAAGGTAAAAGGGGAGTCAGCATAAAATACTACGTAACTACTTCAAACTGAAGTACCTGAGGAACTGGATCTTTACCTGCATTATCTGTGCATGGAATGTCCCCATTTGTTGTTGAAGTCACAAGAAATTTTCTTGCATTGCTTAGTCCACGACTATTAAGGAAAACAGGTAAATGAACTATATTGCGCATATAGTCATGTCCATTTATATTTGAGTCACGAAGCACACTGTTGAGGTTCTGGTTAATTGCCTTTATAATAATATGTGGATCACTTGCAAAAATGGCAATGAATGGGCCTTTTGAAAAGAGAATTCGGACCTGTGGTAGAAAAAAATGTATACTTAGGATATAAATTTCAAATTATCCAACAAAAGTCCCTTTCAAATCTGTACTAACCTTTGGTGACTATATTTTTTAAATACTTTTTTCAAACTCTTATTTCATATGAAAACAAATTTCATTAAATTCTCAATCTGGTTTTTCACCATCTAACAGTGATAAAACCTCCAAAGAAAACAATTAATCCTGTCCTATTTTGAGATATTTATGGACAACATAAAAGGAAAGATCAAAACACATAGGAATTTTGTGAATATACGTGAGGTGCTGGGCACACTGGTCTCTCTCCACAGCTACACACTATTGTTTTAACATACCTTATAGAGAGCCACTGATGTACGCCTATTTAAACAAAAACTACAAATTCTGTGGGTTCCCTACTGTTGCCTCTGATTCTAACCATAACTATCTGCAAAAGAAAGCTGGAGTCACACTATGGACTTCAGAGCTATTTTGTTCATTTTCTCCCACAGCCATTGAAGCTAAAATTATTTAAATCTCTTTGTGATGAGACATTTACTCCTGCTATACTTCTGCACTTAAAAAAAATAGTTGGTTTGACAAAAGAGAAAGTACTATTCAAATTCCACTTGAGAAATTCACAAAGTCATTCCTCTCAGCTACCACATGTGACAATTATTTATAAGTTTCAAGATGGCGAAGACATACAGTGTCCAGCATCTGGAGTACTTTGTCCTGCTCGCAGGCATCTAATCCATCAATGATAACCACCAGCCTTGTCTGATTCTGAGTGAAGCTGTCAATGGTTTTTGCCATCCTGGCCATCAGTTCCACTTCACACTTAAGAACCTATGCAAAAGAAAGGACAGAAGCACCGAAGATAGAAGAAATTTAAGCACATTTCTTAAAAAGCCTGACAGAAACTCATCTAATAGGAAGAAAAGAAATCCCAAGTCCTCACTGCCAGTTGAGGTCCCACTTAAAACTGCAGTGAGTGCTTCACAATTTATAAATGTGATACAAAAATTTATGACTTTACATAAATTAGAGCATTTCACCCTTACAATGAGGTAGCCACAGTCATACCCACTGTAAAAGGACAAACTGGGCTGAGTGACTTATTTGCCAAGATCACATACTCTGGAAGTCAAAAGACTAGGAACTAAATGCAAATTCAAATGATCTAAACATCACACTACAGTTGGCTCCTGATGGCACATGACCTTCATCAAAGGAAGGGGTTACAGATATTGTATAAAGTCCCTTTTGATTCTAAAAGTATGGTGCTATTTTATATGTTTTGGTGGTTTTATTTGCTTCCTCTACCGGAATCTAGAGGAGCCTATATTATTAGGCAGGACACCCATTACTATCAGGTAGTTGGTGACCTGTGGAGCAATCTCCTAACTCCTAGAAGTACCTTATAAAAGTCTATTTTATAAAAACCTGTATTTTAATTTTTCCCACTTCAGATGTACATTTCCACAGGGCAAATCTGGACTAAAACTAAAAACAAATGCAACACTGTAACATTTACAGAGTCCACACCCTAAAGCCCCACCATCAGGGTCATGGTAGCATACCCACATTCATTTACTTTCTAATGATCAGTGAGTGCTTACCTTCATGAATCCTTCACTTTTCAGTTTGTGCAGTTTTGAGGCAGCATTATGGAGGCGTTTCCTTTGAGAATTCAGGAGAGAGTCCAGCACCTGCCACCATGTACGACAGTTCAGCACAAAGGCCAATCCCACTATTGACGCGATTGATATGAGGACAGCATTCACTGTCAGATGTTTTGGGTCAACTCTGAAGATAGCCAGGAGAGTAATTCCAGCAATAATGCAGCCAAAGATAAAAAGGAAGATGACAAAAGATGGCAGGCAACATGTTTTTTTCCATTTCTTTTTGCCTGTAAGACAACAAATAGTTTTACCAATTATTTACATACCAAGTACCTAGAGGATCCTAACCATGACAGACATGGCATATGAATTTCTGATGTTCAATTCGTGTTTTCACAGAAATGCACTGAACATTCATCTCAGCCTCATCCCCTACACATATACACAAAGAAGGAGGAAGAAGGAAGTCCTACCCTGTGTATCTTCAGTCTTGAATACTCGAAAGAGCCTGGTTGCCAAAAAGCCAAACTCTCTCTCACAGGCATCCGAGAGAGTTGCGATCATTTCAGCCATCGATGTTTCTCCACCTACACTGGACAGCCTGTTGTAATCTGTAAACAAAAACCTTGGGGGGAAAGGAAGTAAAGTGTTACTCAGATATCTAAAGAAATAAATAATTTCCACATACATCAATTCTGTATCATGTACCCTACATTTTCTTAATGTCTCTTTTAAAATATTGCCATTCAAGTTCTGAAGAGGGAAAAGAACTTGTAATTAGGTTCCTTCCACTTCTAACATCGTACATACTTGTCTTAGGAAAAGGCAATAACCAAAGTAAAATGTGGCAGAGTTGTATGAAGTTAATTCTGACGAAAAGCAGCAGGGTCAAATGTGGCGGCAGAGCCTCAGGCACAGCATCGGACACATGCAGGGCCCTTGGCACAGGGACTGAAAGAGCCACGCGGAGAAGCGTATGAGGCCCCAACCGAAGAGATCAGAAGGCTCACAAAATACTATAGTCATTAAGATTAAAGGCCATTTCAAAACTCAAGTTTTAGAATGTTTTATTTATAGCTTAAACATTTAGTAAGGATTTAGAAATGAGGTGTAAAAGATTCTTTTCAGGTTGTTCTTTGAGATAATTGAATAATTTGTATCCTGATCCTCTTGAGTGGATAGGATTTCTGCATTTGCTCCTTTCTCCCCTTCCATCCCTAAATTAAATGCTCATCTCAATCCAGTAGAAAAGCACTGCTTTCAAAACACAATTTAGGATCACACTGTACTCTGTGTGTGGTATTAATTTATGCTATTTTTTTTAAAGATTTTATTTATTTGACAGAGAGAGAGAGACAGTGAGAGCAGGAACAAAGCAGGGGGAGTGGGAGAGGGAGAAGCAGGCTTCCCGCCGAGCAGGGAGCCCGACGTGGGGCTCTATCCCAAGACCCTGGGATCACAACCTGAGCCAAAGTCAGATGCTTAACAACTGAGCCACCCAGGCGCCCGTGATTTATGCTATTTTAATTGTTCTAACTTTTTTTTAAATAACATCTCATTAATCTAAAATAAATTTTCTGTGACAATATTTCCCTCAATTATTTTATCCCACTCTGTATGTTTTCTTAACTTTTTCATTCTACCTTTTCATTTGTAAATCCTTCTCCTAATACTTAATCATATATGCTAATTATACAAGTTTTTATTTTATTTTTATCTCATATTTATAGTTTTGATGTTTCATCTGGTTTGGCCTATTAATTTTCATCTTAAGTTACACATTTTATCTTTTAATAATTTTAAAATTCTTAATCCTTTAGTATGCATTTAACTATTTTCCTAATTTCTATTGAATTCCTCTTGCTTTCAATTCTGTTTTTCACTTGACGTTCCTCTGGAACCCTCTAACTTTCCTTTATTCTTGACATACATGTTTTTCACCTTTTCTGAACTGTTTTATCACACATTTCCTATTTGACATTAATAATAATTTTAGATAGGCAAGTCAATTTATTTCCACAGGTGAGGAAAGAGTGGTTCAGAGGGCACGCTCAGTAGCCAAGGTTACATGCTAATGCAAGGCGATGCCAGGACCCCATCCTACGTCCTATGCTCTCTTCAAAGTGTTCCTAAAGGATGGAAAAGGTGTCATGGCGGCGGGGGGGTGGGTTATGCTCAGATCAAATTTGGTAAATCAAAGTTAACCAGATTTTTTTAGGGAGAGGTGTCTCTCATCCTTTTATGTACAAGAGGAAGATATGATATAAGTGTTTCTCAAACCTACTTAACCAGGACATATTGTTTTATTTCTCATATAAAAAGTTCAAGAAACCAATGCCTTGGTATGCCTGGGTGGCTCAGTCACTTAAATGTCTGCCTTCAGCTTGGGTCATGATCCCGGGGTCCTGGGATCGAGTCTCACATCGGGCTCCTTGCTCAGTGGGGAGTCTGCTTCTCCCTCTCCCTCTGCCTGCCACTCCCCCCTGCTTGTGCTCTCTCTCTCTCTCAATCTCTCTGACAAATAAATAAAATCTTTGGGAAACAAAAAGAAATCAATGCTTTTTTGGAACATACACTGAGAAAGCATTATAAACTTTATTTTTGCTTCATTGCATGAAAAGCTACTTCTGTCAAAGGGACCAACTCACCTCACAGGTAAAGCTTTAGTGGTCTGCTCAGGCAATTCAGGTGGGTTTACAAACATCAATTTGAGGAGGAGCTCCAAATATCCAATATGTCTTGCCAATCTAGTGCTGAGGACCCAAGCCCAATTCCAACTCTCTCCTTCCCTTCGTCCACCAAAGTAAATGACAACTGAAATTCAGTTTAAAAAAAGTATTCAAAACAATCATCACTCAAGCAGCCTCTTTTCTCACACTGTCAAATATCAAGTAATGAAAAGTAGGCTTACATGACTTTCCCTGGTTCCATGCTATTTCCTAACTACTCCTCAAAGAATTCCTCAGCTAATTAACCAACATAGAGAAGGTATGTGGAAAACAGTAAGCTAACTAAAATATGATGTAAGAAACACAATCAGAAAGATAATGCCTTAAACAGAAACATATCACTTAGTTCAGACTCAAATGTAAATGATTTTGGGTTTATCACTTTTTGCACCTGTTGAAGTTACCAGTTCCTCCAATAGTGAATCTATTTCCTCTGCTACAACTGAAGATATCCCCTAAGAATAGGACTATAATTGTTTTTACTTTGCTTTTAAGTAAAATAAAGATCATAGGCATGATCAAAATGCCCAAGAGCATGCCATTGATGGCTATGAAGACTTACTTTCAAAAAAGACTTAAATATAGTAAGTCATTAGCATATAAAAAAGTGAGTATAATAAATTAGAGTTCTACTTCAATATCAACAAGCAGTACACCAGTGTTTAAAGCTACTCCAGCCAGGTTGTGGACAGTTCCTCTACGCAACTTATAAAACAGCAAAAAGATTATGAAAATCTTTTAATTAATTATGAAAATCACTTATAGGAGAGATATAGATAATATTTTATATTTTATAAACATAGATATATAAACTATTAATATCTTTAAATAAAACAAGGAGTTTTAACACTGTCTCTATTTTTGAAAAAATAAAAAGCAAAAACTTACTAAAAAATATATATAAGAGAGCCAAGAAGCTCAATGATACTGCTATCCCAAGATTCAGGTCGACTGTAAAAGTAAACAATAAACCAAGCCCTCCACAAAGCAGCAAGGTCAGAAATACTATAAGCCAGGAAAACTGAAAAAGAGGTTCAATCTGTTGTCCTGCAAAAGTCTTCATTTCATCTGAAAGAGAAATAGGAAAATCTTAATCCTGTTTTAAGAAATACAACTTCTTTTTTTTTTCCCCTCCAAGTTTTTATTTAAATTCCCGTTAGTTAACATACAGAGTAATATTAGTTTCAGGTGTAGTTTCGTTTTTTTTCTCCCAAGTTTTTAAGAAATACAACTTCTAACTCAATTTGCAATTTTCAATATAAACATTTACTGGGCACTTACTACTAAGTCTCTAGATAGAATGTTGCTCCTCAACCATTTTGCCAATGTGCTCTTTAGATAAACATCCTAACTCCATTCCCTAGGGGTACACCCACCCTTGTTTTACCCACTCTCTTGCTTCATATTGAGGATACATAAATCCTTTTTCATATATTCCCATCTGTCAAGATTTTGTCTTTATTTTTTGTGGTTTGTGTTATATAAGCAACAAGGTATAGTTTCCACATACAAAACTGGAACACATTACTTTGCTATGCGATAAAAATTTTACAGGCAATACTGAAACCTGTCCTTGAAGAATGAATAAGATTTTCCCAATCAAAGGGGCAGTGGGAGGAGCTGTCTAAGAAGCTCCTAACAAAGGGAGCAACTCAAGAAAAGTAGTCTGTTCTTGCAAGAGCCAACAGCCCTCCGTAACTGCAACACGGGGCATACGCATGAGGCAGTGCTGCTGGGTATGCCATGCAAAGTGACGAGTTTAGGAAGGGCTCTGGATATGATGACTATAAACAGCATATGCAGGGGAGCCTGGCTGGCAGTGGAGCATGCAACTCTTGATCTTGGGGTCCTGAGTTCAAGCCCCATGTTGGGTGGAGCCTACTTAAAATTAATAATAATAATAAAAATAGCACATGCAGAAAATCTGCTACCAAGGGATCTTAAGAATATTATAACACAACTGGATCTTTGTTTTAGGAAGAGAACTCAAATGACTGTGTGGAGGATCAACTGGAAGCGGTAACACATTCAATGTAGTAAACTGTGCAACACATACTCATACATGAAAATCTATTTTGCTTTACTTAAGAACAAACACCAGAGAAAGCTTCGTTATATATATACAGACTTTATACAAACATGCCCTTTACCTTCTAGTTTCTTCAGTAAGAAGGATTTCCCACTTCCCCACTGTGCATACAGCCCCACACAAATGGGTGGCTGCATGGTAGGCTCGCTGAGAATGTCTGCCAGCGCACTGCTATACAAATCATAGCCAAGCATGTCACCGTCTGTTTCAGTAGGAGACAAGTGTCCTGTAATTATAAACACACCATATTCTTACATTAAAAAGAGACATTACCACTAAAAAGGAACATCAATTCTCAGTTATCAATTGTTTATTTAATTAGAAAAAAACTGTTTTATTAAATGGTTACGCCCATATAAAAGTAGGTTAAAAGATTCTTAAACACCGTATTTCACTGAACTTAAGATACCTACTTATTGTAAGATGCATCATTATTATGTATAACTAAGAAAGAAATAACATATTGCCAAACTGTGACACAGTGCTCTCTTATCCACCAATTATAAAACACATTCCAATTTCAGACATGTTAAAATGTGGAACACTGTACATTTTAGAATCAATAAAACATGATTAAAACACAAACTAGTATATAGGAATAAATTTAATATGTGTTAATACCTATATACAGAAAGCTATTAAATGTTACTGATGAATAAAATATAGTAATCAGAGAAAAAGACATTATATGGCTCCAGGCAGAAAGGTTTAATGGCTTTGAGACAGCAATTCTCACCAAATTAATTTACCACTTTAAGACAATTCCAATCAAAATCCACAGGAATTTTTGAAAAATTGAAAGGCAGAAGAACATATAAGAATAGCTAAGAAAAAATTTTAAAAGACTATCAGAGAGGGGCACCTGGGTGGCTCAGTCAGTTAAGCGTCTGCCTTCGGCTTGGGTCATGATTCCAGGGTCCCAGGATCAAGTTCCACATTGGGCTCCCTGCTCAGCGGAGAGCCTGCTTCCCCTCTCCCTCTGCCTGCTGCTCTGCCTACTTGTGCTCTCTCTCTAACTCTCTGTCAAATAAATAAAATCTTTAAGAAAAAAAAACAAAAAAAAGACTACCAGAGAAAGAGTAGTTGTCTTTGGAGAAAAATAACCAAAAGCTACAATAATTAAAGCATCACAGAACCAGCACAAGATATTAGCATAAGTGGCATTTCAAACCAGTAGGCAAGGGAGGAATTAATAAGTGGTGCTGGGAGGGGCGAACCATCCATTTTTAAAAAAATTAAAGGAAAACTCTATACATCTTATACCTTAAAAAAATAAGTTTCTCAAAAGGGAAAATGAACTTGTGGGACTTCATCAAGATAAAAAGCTTCTGCACAGCAAAGGAAACAGTCAACAAAACAGAGAGGCAACCCACAGAATGGGAGAAGATATTTGCAAATGACACTACAGACGAAGGGCTGATATCCAAGATCTATATAGAACTTCTCAAACTCAACATCCAAAAAAAAAACAAATAAGTCAAAAACTGGGCAGAAGACATGAACAGACACATTTCAAAAGAAGACCTATAGATGGCTAACAGATACATGAAAAAATGTTCATCATCATTAGCCATCAGGGAAATTCAAATCAAAACCACACTGAGATACCAACTTACACCAGTTAGAATGGCAAAAATTGGCCAAAAATAGAAAGGCAAGAAACAACAAACATTGGAGAGGTTGTGGAGAAAGGGGAACCCTCTTACACTGTTGGTGGGAATGCAAGTTGGTACAGCCACTTTGGAAAACAGGGTGGAGGTACCTCAAACAATTAAAAATAGAGCTACCCTATGACCCAGCAATTGCACTACTGGGTATTTACCCCAAAGACACAGGTGTAGTGAAAAGAAGGGCCATATGCACCCCAACGTTCATAGCAGCAATGTCCACAATAGCCAAACTATGGAAAGAGCCAAGATGCCCTTCAACAGATGAATGGATAAAGAAGATGTCGTCCACATATACAATGGAATATTACTCAGCCATCAGAAAGGATGAATACCCAACTTTTACATCAACATGGATGGGACTGGAGGAGATTATGCTAAGTGAAATAAGTCAGCAGGGAAAGTCAATTATTATATGGTTTCACTTATCTGTGGAACATAAGAAATTGCATGGAGGACATTAGGAGAAGGAAGGGAAAATGAAGGGGGTGAAATCGGGAGGGAGACGAACCATGAGAGACTATGGACACTGAGGGTTTTGGGGGGGAGTGGGGGGATGGGTTAGCCCGGTGATGGGTATTAAGGAGGGCACATATTGCATGGAGCCCTAGGTGTTATATGAAAACAATGAATCATGGAACACTACATCAAAAACTAATGATGTACTACTGTATGGTGACTAACATAATAAAATTAAATTTAAAAAAAATAAGTTCCTGAAACATTAAAAAATTAAATGTAAAAAACCATAAAAAATACTAGAAGAAAATACAAGGAAAAAAACCTTTTTAATCTTTGTGTGTTAAAGTCCCTTCTTTCTCAATATAATACTAAAGCCAGAACTGCAGGAAAAGACCAACAAATAAACTACAAATCTGCATAACTTTTAGATGGGGAATAAAAAAAAAACCCATCACCATAAACAAAGAAGAAGCTGGGAGGGGGTACAACATATAGGATGGACCCATGATCCATATCCATAACATATAAAGACACTTAAAATCAATTTTTAAAAAAAATATCAAAAACTCAAGAGAAAAATGGGCAAAGGATATAAAGAGGAAAATGGAAAAAATACAAATATCCTGTGAACATATGAAAAGATCACCATCTAATAATTTTATAATGCAAATTACATGAGATTTTTTTCTTGAATTGATCTGATTAGCCAAGATTAAGGAGGTTGGAGCTCTCCAGTATTCTCAAGGTCATAGGGAGCTGCCCTACAGTACATGGTCCAAGGCAGAAGAAATTGTTACAGTCGCTTGGAAAGTCGCCCAAAACTATGAGCATTAACTGACTTGCCTATTCTACTTCTGGGCATTTATTCTAATAATCCTAAAAACACGAGTTAATGAATACATGTACAAAGATGTTTACTGTACTAGCTTTTAAATATAGTTCATTATTAAAAATATTTATAATATGGTATGACCCGATTATTAATTTTTAAAACTGTATATATAGTACAAAACATTTTTAGAAATGTATACAAAATCCTGTAGGGTCATTCAAACAGTTACGAATTAAGATATAAGGGACAATGGGAAATTTGCACTTTCTACTATATTTGTGTCTTCATTTTGAAATTCATGTGTGCATTAATATTATAATCAGAAAAAATATTTTAAAATACAAGAACTCATAATACAATAGAAGCATACTTAAAAACAATCTATAAGTAAGAAGCTCAACTGGAAGGTGGTGGGATTCTACTATCTCCTTGGTTTCTGAGACTGGCATATCTCTCTTTTTTTTTTTTTTAAGATTTTATTTATTTATCCATGAGAGACAGAGAGAGAGAGAGAGAGAGAGAGAGAGGCAGAGGGGGAAGCAGGCTCCCAAGGAGCAGGGAGCCCGATGCGGGACTCGATCCCAGGACTCTGGGATCATGACCTGAGCCGAAGGCAGATGCTTAACCATCTGAGCCACCCAGGCACTCTGGCATATCTCTTTTTTAATTCTAGTAGAAAATTGTTCCATATTTCAAAACACCACATATGATTATATACTCATGTACATTCTTCTCAATCAAAAACCATTTGAGTACAATATTCGAAGCATTATGCTAGATGTTACAGAGGATGTAAAGATAAAGAAGAAATAGTCCCTGTCCTGAAGAACGTGGAATCAGAAGGGAGAAAATTCTAAAAGAAAAAGAAGGCCATGTACAATAAGTATAAAAAAAAGAATGTAAACACAAGTGCTTAAGTATTCAAATGAGGCAAAAATTTTGTCTGGTTTAGGCAGATCAGTTAAAACGTCACTGAGAAGGGGACAACTGACAGGAGCCTTGGAGAGAGATTCAGACAAGGAACCTTGGTGGAGATGGAGAGGTAAGACCTGTGGCAGGCATAACAAACAAACATGGAGAACTCTTAAGTGCTCAGGCCACAGAGAAAACAGAGCATGTTTTGATAAAAGCACAAAGTATACCTGGGAGAATAAGAAGGAAAAGATTTTTAGAAAAGCAGGCTAGATTTTTAGAGGTCTTCAAAGTTGATAGACAACTCTGGATGTACTTCATTTAGATGCTACAGGACAATGCAGAAGAACTCTTGACAGGAAGGAGTATTCTTCCACAGCAAAATAGTAACTTTCTCAACTTCCATAATCTCCAGTTAAGTGATACATGCAAAACTGCTATTGGCTTCTTAGTTTTTCATAGAACATTCATTTTTTAAAAGCTCAGTCAGGAACAAAGCCCAATACTTACTGGCTCCAAATATTTGAGTTAAAATACTTTTTTGATGGCTACAATCAATGTTGTAGGGAGTCTCGCCTGCTTTGTTGGGCCTATAAAGTAACCTCCCATCTTTGGGATTTCTTAAAAGAAGTTCTGCCAGTTTCCGACTCCTCCCACGAATAGCAATATGCAAAGGAGTGTCTCCTTTCTGTAAAACAGAGAGGAAATTGGAACTTTCATATACTTTACATATAGTATATACAGAATAACAATTTTCATGTTTCAGAACTTTTCATATTTTTTATATAGGGTGAAAAAGTAATCTGAATTTTTCTCTCTCTCCTCTGTAATTTTTTTCTCAAGATCCTCACCTAGCTTTTCTTGGGTATTATTTCTCCCACAGCCCTCTAGAATGAAGGTCATTCTTCTCCCCTCCCCTCAACTCACTGAAAGGAGAAGCAACAGGCTTTCTCCTTGCAGCACCTCCCAGGCCATGGATTTACCTCTATCCCTCATCCAATTATTTATTGTCCATGATGTCCTCCACTTTCCCCAACTAATTCAAATTCTACTGTACAACTTTCTTCTGCATTTGTCTAGAAAGCTTCACAATCTATACTGATATCCCATGTAGCATGAGTGACCTCAGATGCTCCCACGCCCTCTGCCAACCAGCCACCATCATGTTAGGCCCTTAAATTCATTCTACACTTCCCTCCTTGGAGTCCTTCATATCATATCTATCCATCTCTGTCCAGTACCACCTCTTCTGCCCTCCTCACCTTTCACTTCACCCTATATCAACCTACCTTCTTCCCTTAGTAGAATCCCCAGTCACATTAGTATTCACATCCAACACTAATGAAAACATGTAAAAAACAAACAAACAAACAAACAAAAAAAAGACCTTAGGTCTGCAATGTGTTCTCCCACTTTTTACTTCACAAACACCTCTCTTGAAGACAATGACCTAAGAAGTTAACAAATTAAGTTCTCGGTTCTCATCTACCCTGATCTCTCTAGAACACTAAATGAAAATGACCTGCAAGATTCTTTCTATAGCTTCGATGGCACAACCTTATCTTGATTTTGACTCTCCTCTTCTGCTTTGGGTCTACTTTTTCCTTTTCTAGATTCTCTTTCCACATCCTAAACACATGGCACAATAACTATGTATTAAGCTCACTCTATGTAAGGCACTGTTCTGGGTACTCTGGAAGATAAAAAGATGGAAGACAAAACGGTCCCTGACCCTAAACAGCTTACAATATAACAGGAAGAAATTAGATAAACATGCAAATTATAAAACAAAGTAGAATGTGACACATGCCATAAGTTCTGACCTCAGCTTTCATCTTTCTTCCCATTGATGACCTTAGGCACACCATGCAATCCTTATCTCTCGGTAACTAAGTGCCAAATTCTCATCACTAGGCTTGATTTCTTGCCCAAATTCTAGTCCCACACTTCCCAATGCCTATTGGTGACAGCCTCCTGAATGTCTCATCAGCCCTCAAACAAAACACACCTAAACCAGATTTCATCATTTTATTTCCCCACCTGAACCCCATCTCTTATATCCCCAAACCTGTGAGAAGGTAGAAACATCATCTGTGGCACTTCTGCCAGACACAAGGTTTCTGAAAATGCAGGGAAGACGTTAACACACTCAGCCAGTGTGCAGAACTGAGATCAGGGACAGGCTAGGTGAAAATAGCATTAATCTTCATTCTGAAATGTATCTGTAGGAAATCCTCCATGAAGAGCCAGGATCAAGACTTTTATAGGTTTGTATTCCAAATTCTAGCATGACAGCACCTTATCCATCCTAAGTATATGCTGAATGAAGACAAATGCTCCAAGTATCATGTGTGCTTTTCAGCAAGTATGTGCTAACTTGAGGCGAGGCAATACACAAAAGGATATGGAGACAGAGAACTCCAGGAAACTTATTAGTGGGTATGAAACAAATATTTATAAATGGCATGTTACCGAATTAATGAGGCCATGTGGAATCTGAAAGGGCACTTAGTCCAGTGGTTTCTTATTGCAAATTAGGAGGCCAGGGCCAGAAACAAGTCAACGGCAGAATGAGAAGAGGAGGTAATGCAGGAAGTTTTCTATAAAGCTAAATATATTCAGCTGCAAAATCTCTTGATTTTATGTCATTCATTCCTAGTTTCAATATCAAAGTTTACTTTCTTTTATAAGAAATTATACAAACATGGTAATAGATGGGAAGATTTTTTTGTTTTTTCTTAAGCAATGTTGTTTCTTGATAAATGCAAATACATACTGATTCTGTGTTTTTTGTTTAATTGCCTCATAAACAGTAGAAAGATAAACTTCAATTTATTATGGATTAGGAGAGCCCAAATCATATCATACATTTAGATGGAAAAATTTATATTTCTAACTTCATATATAAATCAATTCATTCCCTTTATGGGAGGAAATCAAGAAGTAGAGAAATTCTGTTTAAAATGAAAACAAAATCAAACCAGGAATCAATTCTATATGAAGTAGTAAGCAATTTAGAGTTAAATTTGCCATGGAAAATATGAACATTTCTCTAAGAGGATTATGGCGAGGACATGGCAGAACATTTTATCTCCTGTTAGTGGATATTAACACTAGTCTGCTCTGAGTCTATCTTTTCCAGACCCTTGGATTCTTTCCTCCTGTTTGTCTGCAACAAGCTCTACATCTGATGATGTCCTCTTTGTACGGTGGTCAATGGCAGCTTGCCATAACTGGTGTGAGCAACAGAAGGAAAATCTGATGCAGCCTCTTTAACAGCATCCTAAGCCTGCCCATTCCTCAGCACGCTATCAGAACAGCCAAGAAGATATCACAGGACCAAAATCCCACATAGATCGCCCCGGCAAGTAATCTCTCCCTCCACAAAATAAAACCAGACTCCCTTAAGTCCAGCAAATATACAGGTCAGTCTACCAACAGCCTTCCAAAAAGTGTTCTCTCTGCACAGATGTTTTACCTTATCTACAGCAGATACTTTAGCTCCTTTATCTAGCAGCAGCTCTACTACTTCAATATTTCTCATCTTGGTAGCCTTTATAAGTGGTGTTTCACCGTCCTGCAGGCACAGATAAGATTTGCCAGATTAATAGCTTTACTCATAAATGTTTAAAGTTACATCAATGTACATATAAGAATTGAAATATCTGACTCTGGCACAAGTCTATATTGAAAATGTTCTCAAAAAAACATAGCTGTAAAAACTAACAAGAAAAAATGCTTTTCCTTTCCCAACCAATCATTTGTATCAAAATAATTTTATATCACTCAGCCAAGAATGGATATGCCCAGCTCCTTAGCAGCCATTTCTGGCAACAGTCCCCTGCCCCTCATTGATTTGGCTATTTCCCAGTTTCTACCATTGGCACGTGGGCAGCCCCTCCAGAGACTACTTCCCATTCACACCACTCCCCACCAACCAACCCACAGCTTGGCCAGTCAATGTCCAGGCAAGCCAGTGCCTAGATTTTTCAGAGATCTTTACCAGCATCACGTCAGTTCTCTGTGCACCTAAGGACCCGTGTGTAACAGGAAAAACAATTTGATACAAGAAATGTGCCTCTGGAAAAACCTCAAAAAAGTTCATGATTGCTTTTCAAAATCAAATTAAGGGATATAGGAAGAGACCATAGTTCAGCAGTGAATTAGGAGACAGAAACCTGGTCAGAACCCACAGATGGTCACAGTGGCTGACACATAGGTTTAAGAAAAAAATTATTATCAAGGAGCCACCCACACACCAAAAGGTATCCCAGGAAACTTTCTGCCCTAGGGCTCTAAAGCTACCATAGTATAGGAAGATGCTGGTCCCAATCTCTAGCAGATAAAATAGGAGTATCTTATGAGTGACTCCACAAGTTTGTTTATTCATTTAGAATTCCTACCAATTCAATTCAAATATATCCATTCCAAATACATTTTCCCCATGGAAAACTATTACACATAAGGTCAAATACAATCACTAAAGTCTTATATAGGTTTTATATTTTTCACATGATTTGAGCAAATAGATTAAAGTGACTGGTTTGGGGAACCAAGAACCACTTACACTGGTCTTTTAAAAGAAAATGTGTTCTGCATTCCAAATAAAAGCATAAAAGTTCTGAAAAAAATGACCTATCCACAATTTATGAAGAGCTGATATTATATTTTCTGAAAGTATTTCATTAAAGTAACACATTATACACTATATTTTCCTGTGAATAAAGAACTTCTGGAAGGATACAAAATTACTCCCCAATTTAATATAGATTATTACCAGTGAAATCAGTATAATTCTAATATCAAACAAAAGATGATTGAAAAAAACAAGCAGTACTAATATTCAGCACTGGGTATTGCTAGGAGAACAGAAATGTCCTTGATACCTTTGTGCATATCTCAGTGTCAGGATTGCACTGTAAGATATCTCTCACCATTGTTGCATTTCCTTTCTCTACAGCCCAATACAAAGCAGTTTTGTTGTCCTATATAATAGAAAAAAATCAACAATCACTTCATTTAAGATACGATATTGGAAACTGCTATTTGTAAACATAAAACATCATTTTTAACATTTCTGCCAGAATACCAACAAAGAGGAAATAATATTAACCCTTATTCTATCTTGGATTTACTCTTAAGAAATTCTTTATGAAAGAAGCCTAAGAAAACAATATTACTTGATGTAGAAAGCAGCAATCCCACATACCTGATAAGGTAAAGTATGCTTTTGTTAATGTGGTCAGATTTCCGGGCTGTGCAGTGGAAGTTGTCAATACCTGAGCTCATCCTTGAACAAGTCAAATATTCTGCAAATATTATGACCCTTGGCTTTTCATCTGCCCAATCTTTTCAAAAGATAATGCATGAGAATGTACTACACAAACAGAAGGTGAATTTTTTTTTTACCATGTTTTCCTTTCTTAATCCTCACCCACCCTGCATCCATTACACCAATCCTGATCTGATCCTTTATAATCCCATCTAGTTCAAAAACCAAAAATTGATCCAACAGACCCTGAAAGGAGAGCTAGAGAACAAAATAAAGTGACTAAAACATAGGAAAACAGGCTTGACAGACAAAAAGGAATTAGGTAAACTCTAAATAGGGGATCCAGCAACCATCTTTTAGTGAAACTATGATTTTAACGCCAAAGACAGTCACTGACTTTCCAGGGCTGCCACACTAAGTCTCCCACACCAAACTTTCCTGGTAGAGTTCCCCACCTCAACAACGTGCCGTAGCTTCCCAACGTTCCTGGTCTGGCCCTCAGACCTCTCCAGCCCTGCCCCTTTCTATTTCCCATGCCACACTGTCTCCCATGCCACACTCCCCACCGGCCCGCAGCCAGCCAGACCTTTTTGCCAGCTAAGGAGTATAGTCTTTCACTTCCCCGTTTTCTTGAATTTCATCTTATTATTCTACTATCCTTGCCTAAAATACCAGGCTTCCTTTTTCTTTACCTATCTAAATCCAACCCATCTTTCAAACCTTGCTCAAATTCTACCTTCTCTCAAAAGCCTTCCTTAATGCCTTCTTTTCCCACCTCAAGACTCTTACAGTGGTAAGTTTCACTAGCCAATCAATCATATACCATCTTATACCAAAAGGCATCACTTTGTATGTTTATGTAAAAACACAAAAATAAACATAAAACAAAGTAAAACCTCCTTAACTAAAATACACATTTCTTACAAGGCAAGGGTTTCATGTTAAGTCCCTCATAGCATTTGGCATAATATTTGTTAGTTTGATTCAAAAATAGATTTGGATACAAGCTAAACTCAAGGGAAAACTAAGTAGAAATGTAGGCTGTCCAACAACAAAATGGAATATTAAGTAGATTTTTTTTTAACCTAAAGCTCTTGAAACATTGGATAAATTCACAAGTTTAGGGGAGGTTTACCTAATCTTAGTAACCTCTGTAGCTCTGTGAGCTATGACTGCCTTAAGCAAAGTCCACAGGCACTATCAAGGGGTCCTAGGAAAGGCAAGCAGAATGGGGAAGAAGGAAAAGAAAGATAAAACAGCAAGAATGGAAGAACAACACATGGATGAGAAAGACAAAACAGAGGGAAAATACTAAAGAAAATAAACTGGATACATTCAAAGTATCAGCAACTGTCTCAGTATCATACTACTCATTTCAGGATTGAATATATTTATACACTAGTAAGAGAGGTGTATTTGAAAAATATGAGCTTCGAACATGCTCTAATGTCATCTAACGCGACATTAAGAGAAATTCTGTAATAAGGGCAGTCAAACTTAATATAGGCATCCATTAACTATATTAGGATCTACTAGCTCATCTCCAGAGAAAACTCAGAAAGACATTGTTCTCAGTCAACATGCACAAATGATGGTGCACAAAGATGACAGCAGCACAGGAATCACACACACCTGTCCTCTAATGTCTATATCAGCATATTTCTGGAGAAGTGCTCGAACGATTTCCACATGACCACCTCTGACAGCGCCAATCAACACAGTATCTCCACTCTAAAAAGATCAAAAAAAAAAAGGTAAACTGATAAAAGAACAAATAAACACTGTTTTGAAGTTAATTGTATATTAATAGATATTTCTCTGCAAATTTCTTGGGAAAAAGGGCATCTCAAAATAAGAGAAAAATTTTAGTTAACTAACATTAATACCAGACATTAATAGCCCTAGAGTAAGAGATAGGTTATACCTCAAAATGAGGACTCTTAAATTCCACGACGAAAGTTTAGAAAGATAAGTTACCAAAAACAATAAGCCATACTCTTTGAAGGTGACTGACTTCCCACTATAAATGTAAAATTAAATTAAATGACACCAGAGCTGTCAATGAATCAAATGAACATTGAGAAATAATACAAAACCGTTGGACTAATGCTATATGATGAAAGCCATGGATTATAAAAAAGGGAGTTGTACGGCTATGGCTGTCAGTGAGTTTATAACCACATTTCATTAAGGGATAGGGTAGTTCCCAGACCAGTATCCACAGTCATAGCAATCTGGCATTACAAGCTAACAGTGCATAAGACTGACCCATTCCCCATGACAAGGATTAGATGAAGTTCATTACCTCATAAAGACATCTCTTTGCCCTAAAATTATATTTACCAAACAACAATCATTATTAATTATATCTTCCTACTACTTCAAATGTAAAATGGCTATTCTGGCAATGCCTGCCTAATTTTTTTTTACTCTAAATTACAAATCAGTTGTAGGAATTTGAGTTGGGCAAGTCCATGAGCTGTGGCTCATCTCAATCCTTCGTGGGCCTCAATGGGTTATAAATCAAGATGCAAGTCCTTGAGGATTACTGAATTTAGCACCCTGTGTAGTATCTTAACTACTACATTAAAAGCAGAAATAAATGCAAAGCAAACCAATTTTAGTTGAGAATGTTAGCATTAATATGGTGCCAGAGTAGTAAGTTAATAAAAGGTTATAAATATCTCATTGCTTACTATGTGCCATGTACCGTTCTAGGTATTGGGAAACAAGACAGACAAGTTCTCAGCTCTAGAAGAACTGACAGTCTAGAGGAGACAGACAACATAAAATAAACACAAACAAAAAATTAGACAAATGGCATGTAAATAAATTAAAATATAGTGATGACATAGAAAGTGACTGGACTGTGACTTTGGATTGGGTCACTGAAGATCTTTCTGAGGAACTCATATTTAAGCTGAGGTCAGAATGACAAGGAGGAGGCAGCCATATAGTGATCATGAAGATCAGCATTCCCCACAGAGCATAGCTGGTGCAGAGGTCCCAAAACAGCAACAAGAGCAGTATGCTCTAGAAAGGAAAAAAGTTAATATGGTGGCAACCAATTAAAACAGAGGGAAGGGAAGTAGACAGACACAGGATGTGTTCTGGAGGTAGAGCCAAAGGGACCTGCTGAAGAATTAGATGTGGTAGGTGGGGATGAGAAATCAAGGCTAATGCGTAGAACTTGGGGCTTTAACAACAGGGTGAATGGTGATGCCATTCACTCAGATGGAGAAGACTGAAGGAAAAGCAGGGCTGGGATGAACCAAACAAGACATCTGCTTTGCTGTAACTTTTAAAGCCCATCAGACACTCAAGCAGACAGTTCGAGTTGGAAATAGAAGTGTAGTGTTCTGAGAAAAGATTAGAGCAAGAGGTACAATTTTGAAAATTCTAAGTATAGGTGAAGGCTTGGGAAAGTGAGTAACACCAGCCATGAACAACACTACAATCACAGACATCAAGGACAATTACAGACTAATAGTACATGTGACATTTTCAGTAACAATATTATTTGACAAAGATTAAAAACAACACTCTTCAGAAAGATTGCATACATTTTAACTTCTTAGTTTTAAAAGTAGAAATAAAATTTATCTTTTATTAAAACAAATGTATGACATACATGAAGAATCCTGAAAAGGTGTGAGAAGATAATCTTCCATTATGTTACCACTAGAAGACAAATCTCAAATAGGTAACCTACCCTATCAGGTATGTTCACATATGTTCCGGCATCGAGGAGATCCTGTACAATCTCTGTATGTCCCTCCTTTGATGCAATCATCAAAGCTGTATTTCCATCCTTATCTGTTAAATTTACATTTGGATTCCTCTTCAAAATTTCTTTTACTGAGTGTGTGTAGCCTCCTTTTACTGCCACAATCAGTGCAGTCATTGAATTCTAAAAAACAAAAACAAGCCCAAGAAATCAGTATAATCTAGAAAACATATGATTTATGCCACAGTCATAAAACTGATGTTTTCAAAAAAGTGGTCTATTATTAAGAGTGATTTCTGATAATGAAATGCCAATATAAATAGTCACATACCAAAACTGGCTAGGAAGTCTATTTTCTGTTTTTGAAGATACATTAATTTTCTTGAGTCAACAGGACAGTTACAACATTCAACTCTTCAAATGATAATCTGAAATTGGATTCGCTGACAATAAACAGACCCTCTCACTAATATAATGAGATGAGATGGGATGATTCAAAATGAAACACATTCTAAATTAAATAATCCAAAATAAGGTCAATCAGGCTTCAAACAAAGAATTGTTTATAATAAAAATCTGTAAAACAATGAATCATGGAACACTACATCAAAAACTAATGATGTAATGTATGGTGATTAACATAACAATAAAATTTAAAGTAAAAAAAAGTATAAAAAATCTGTAGGAAAACTGAAGTACAATGAATTAATAGCTACAGGATATTTCAATAAATTATAATATATTCTTCTGTCTTTCACAGTGATCTAGAAACCACATTTTCCCAAAAATGATCTCATTTTTAGTGGTTCTTTTAAAAGTTGCACATCTGGGCGCCTGGGTGGCTCAACTGATTAAGTGGCCAACTCTTGATTTCAGCTCAGGTCATGGTCTTGGGGTCCCAGGATTTAGCCCCCCATCAGGCTCTGCACTCAGTGGGGAGTATGCTTGAGGATTCACTCTCTCTCTCCCCGCCCCCGTCCCTCCCCTGCTTGCATGCTCTCTCAAAAAAAAAATAATAAAATAAAATCTGCATATCTAATTTATAACAATAAATCACCTAATAGAAGAACCTGACTCATTACCAAAAGAAGTATTAAAGTTGCTTCCTGAGAAACTGATCTATATTGAGATGTCATATAATCTCCTTATTGAAATATTTCAGTCATTAGATCAGCCCCCCAAAATGAGTCATAATTCTCTCACATATTAAGATAGCCTTTTAAAATCCTGTTAAGAGTCAAAAATCATAGAAATAAGCCACTTATCCACTTGATAAAACTGTCCAGAAAAAAGGAAAGTGAAAGGTATGAATTTCATGGCTGTCTAAGAATCATGCTCTTTCTCTACATGGCACTAAAAATATTATATACTCCATAAAGGTCAGCAATTAGTAGCTTCTGCCAATATGGAAAACAGGAGGAATTGGTTGATATTAAGCCAAGTGTGATTTAGAGTTCATTTATCTCACATAATACTTAATTTTACAAAGAATACTCTGTATTAATCATTTCTTGAACATAAATAGCATTTCCTTTAACTATAATCTCACAAGTTCAACAGAAAAGCCATCCGTTAGGCTTCTCCAGAACCCTGAGCACATTTGGCACAGGGCTGCAGGCACAGCAGGTGCTCAACAAGTTATTAATAACTGCTACTTGGTAGGATGTATTGAACCAGTTTTTAAGCTTTCTACATTTTGACCACTGATTTCTGACATTTTTAAATCTATTAGAGGAGGAAAATAAGTCACAGCTAAAAATATACAAAAATTATAATATTTTAAAATCTTAAGGAAAAGGTATTTTAACAGGGCATAACTTTTTCCCACAATTAACAGTATCTCAAACTATTTGATTTAAAGAGTATTTCAAGGGGCGCCTGGGTGGCTCAGTCATTAAGTGTCTGCCTTCGGCTCAGGTCATGATCCCAGGGTCCTGGGATCGAGCCCCGCGTCAGGCTCCCTGCTCAGTGGGAGGCCTGCTTCTCCCTCTCTCCCACTCGCCCTGCTTGTGTTCCCTCTCTCGCTGTCTCTCTCTCTCTGTCCAAAATGAATAAAAATCTTTAAAAAAATAAAATAAAATAAAAATAAAAGAGTATTTCAATACTGATTCAATCAATAGTAAGATTACTGTAAGATGTTCTTTATAGTTTTAGCCTCCCAAAATTTACACGCATTAACAATAGATCCCTAAAAGCATGTTTATAATACATACTATCTAGAACATAATATATTTGTCAGGATAACAGAAAGAAAATGCTTGTTTTTCTAAGTATCACTTAAGAACTACAGGAAAAATTTTCTAGACATACACTAAGAAAGAATATTCTCTCCCTTAAAACTAAAAACGTATCTCTATTACCAGGGTTTATTAAACAGAAAATATACTTACAGCTCCTTCTTGATCAACATCAGCTCCCATGGCCAATAAATGTTTAACACACTCCAAATGACCCTTCCGTGCAGCCCAAACAAGAGGGGTAGTTCCATACTATAAAAAAATAGTAACAAATGTAAAATTATTATCAGAGCTGTAGTAAAAGAAACTTTCTCAACACAAATTTTAATAAAACTCATATTAAGTATTCTTAAATTACCATTTATACAAATTATAATTTTAATCCTAGATAAGCCATATTTTCCCCAGTGTCTTTCTCCTGAAGAGATGACTAACCGCTGTATGAAACAACTTTTATAATTAGTGACAATTTTTTCCATCATAAAGTCACATGGCCTCTAATTTTCAACAAGCTTTCCTTGCTTCCTGTATCTTGTGAAATACAATTTAAAGTCCAACAGTCTGACTACAGGCAAAAAGAGTAACAACCAAATGACAAATATAATTCTAAGTACTTTACATGGGTTAACTCATGGTTATCACATAACTCATCTTTATCACAAGAATAAGGAGAATTTGAAATATCACATTTTCACAGAGAGCAAATGAGGCCCTGAGAAATTAATTACAGGTTTAAAGTCACAAAGTTACTAAGAGGTAGAGTAAGACCCATAACCCCAACAGGCCTGCTTCAGTCTGTGCTCTTAACCACCACCCCCTAATTAGCCTCTAAACTTGATAAAATAAACTTCCTTAGAAACTGCACTTAAAAGCACCTTTAGCTGGAATGTGATTCAAAAGACATCAGAGAATTGTACATTATGCATAAAAGCAATGCTGTGTCTTTGGGAAGTCTGGCAATCAAGAGACATACCCACCGTGATCTTTAACTACATGAGACTACAGATTGAAATAAACATGTAATAAACGCCTACTTTCTATAATAGCTCTGTTCAACAAAACTTTCTATGCTGATGGAAAGGCTCCCATAATTCTGCACTGGCCAATACAGTAGCCAAGAGTCTCATATGGCTACTGAGCACTTTAAATGTGGCAAGTATGACTGAGGAACTTTGTTTTTGTATCTTCTGTGTTTAGTACAGATACAGGGTACTGCACACAGTAGGTACTAAACATTTTCTCAAAATGCCAGAGTGACAGACTAGGTGGCATACTACCTGATTCTGGAGGGGCCTTGAATACCAGGTCATATAAACCATTTTTCAATATGCCAGAAGGAGAAATTAAAGATTTCACAATCATACTAAAGTGTCAAATCAAAAACATCAATAGAGAGAATCATATCCACTTTGGACATAAAATAAAACCTCACTAATCTGAATTAAAAGACAGCCTATCTTGATGAGCATGAGTGTTGTATGTTAAGTGATGAATCACTGAATTCTACTCCTGAAACCAACATTGCATTGTATGTTAACTAACTAGAATTTAAACAAGAATTTGAAAAGAAAAAAAAAATAGAAGACAACCATTCTGAATTAATGAACAGTCCCAATACAATATTTTTAAGTACCATATTATAAGTATTTGCAATAGTCTCTTTACAGTCCTTATCAACCTATTATTTTAGGTGATATTTTTAAAAAATGAGCATAACCTACATAAAGTGTATAAAATACATCAGTCTAGGGGCACCTGGGTGTCTCATTTGGTTAACCATCTGACTTTGGCTCAGGTCATGATCTCAGGGTCCTGGGATTGAGCCCTGCGTGGGTCAGGCTTCATGCTCAGCAGGGAGTCCGCTTCTCCCTCTTCCTCTGCCCCTCCCCCACTTCTCTCTCTCACTCTCAAATAAAATCTAAAAAATAAATAAAATACATCTATCTTAAATGCATTACTTGATTTTTTTCCATATATATACACCCATACAAGCACCACCCAGATTAATGTAAGATGATTCCCAACATTCCCATCAGGTTAAGCAATATTATTTTACTTAAATTTATACTCAAGAATATATTCCAATTATCAAAAATGTCTAATTATTAGCTATTTTCCTATATTTCACTGAATTGTTATTAATTTGAAAAGATTACAGTTACCCACAATGTGTCAAGTTCTAATTAAATAAATACTTATTAAATGTTTGAGATGAATGTTAAGGATTTAAAAAATGAATAGAACAAAATTCTGGGAAATTTTCTAAAGCGTATGGCAAATGAGCTGAGCGTGAAGGATGAACAGAAAGTAAAGCAGACGAAGAGGAAAGAGCTCTTCACACTGAAAGAGCACATGCAAAGGCATGGAAGGGCTAAAAACAGATGAATCCAGGCACCCACATCCTTTGGCAGTCTGGCAGGCAGGCAGTTTTAGGGTTCAGATGGCAGGAGAAAGGGCAGAAAGGGAGCCAAGGCCTGTCTACACACATCATACCAGGGATTGATGTCTTCAGCATTTTAAGTATAAGAGAGAGAGAAAAAAAAAACTAAACCTGAATTTTACAAAGATCATTCTGACAACCATACATAGAAAGCAGCTAGGACTGAAGGTAGGAATAAGAGTTACAATAGAAAACTTCAAATAATGAAAACAGGAATCATCCCTATCTATTTTCCAGAGAATGATGAATGTGATGTAAAGAAAACAATGGAGGGAGAGTTACTATGTGTAAGGAATCCACCTATGAGATATCTATCTATATAAAATATATTCATATATATAAATAGAAGATTCACCAGCACAGTCTCATGAGATCACATGAAAAAACTTGCATTTAGACATACTGAGTAGACATAATATGAACTGGAACCTGGAAAGATCCTGCTGACCTACCTTATCAGAGCAGTTGACTTTAGCACCATTTTGCAGTAAAAGATGCACTATATCTGCATGGCCTCTCCCTGCTGCCCAAATGATTGGGTAAACACTGTACTGCTGGGAGAGAGGTAGGTGGGGAAGTAGGTAGAAAAGGAGATGAGAGGAGGGAGAATGCAAGGGAGGGAGGGAAAGAAAAATCTTTTAGGTAGATATTTACAACACACATTTGCTAAGAAAAGTAAATAGTAAAGGGAGTAATACAAAGTAATATTTTAAAAAACCAAGTTACAGATCATTCTCCACTTTAAAAAACATATTAATACTCATAAGACATAATCAGCTAATAAAATGTACTCAACCTTAAATACATATATTATGAACACATTTATTTTTACAGATTAATACATTTAATATGATTATCTAGCCAATAGGAAACACTAATAAGAGAAATGTAAAATAAAATCCTTCCATTAACTTACATAATCCTTCTATTAACTTGAATAAGTTTCTCCTTTTTTAAAAAGCTTTACTGAGGTATAACTGACAAAATCGCAAGATGTTTAAAGTGTACAACATGATTATCTGACATATGTATACAGTATAAAAGGATGTCCCCCATCAGAAGGATAATCTCTCAATCAGCAGTCTGAGATCAAGTCTCAAACAGAACAGCAATGCATGTATTACCATGTAAAGAAATGTACAGAAAAATGGTATGGATATTTGGTAAATATCCTTTTTCTTTAAATTAAGTTTAGATTAAGAATGCATACCCACAGAATACAGGCAAGGTGACTTAGGGATTTCAAAAATCTCCTTGTGAAATGCTATATGTTATAATTAACATTTAAGCTCTAAGAGTTGCCTTTTTGTTGATAAAAACTGAGAAATAAGCTTAGCCTGAGAAAAAAATTCTCACTGTGATTTGACATCACATCTTGCATTATTATTTTTATTAACATCTAGATAATTTCTTTCCAATCTGAAGTCTAAAATACAATCAGCCTTAAGTATTACCTAAAAGAACTTACCACTCATATTAGAGTGAAATTTTTGTGAATACTTACCAAACCAGTGACACTTGGATTGGCACCATGAGAAAGAAGTAACTCTACCACTTCAGTACGGCCTTTATAACATGCCCACATAAGAGCTGTCCATCCTCCCTAAGGAAAAAAGGGTTGAGGGGACAGAAAACTTGACCGGTCATCTCCAAGCACAAAATGTCATTAATGAAGTTCCTTCTTTGACTATTTCTACATAAAACCATTGTGTATGAAGGCACTACTATGTAGTTTTAAATCCCCAAGCTCCCCAGACAAATACACAATAGAATCTGAAATAAGTCAAATCTCTTAATTCCAAAATTACTCCAAATTTTGACTGTATCATGGAAACTAAAATAGAGAACATTCATGTTCGATTTTTCAAATTTCCAAGATTTATTTTGGCTGTTCAAAAATTTTTTCTTCAAAACACTTTCTATGTCCCTAGATTTCCTTGTATGAGTCTAGACTTTTTCTAGAGAGGCATTCTGGCAATCATATTCAACTCCTGCATTAAACACATCCTATAAATCCCAGATTATAGCACCTCTTCTTAAAATCAAGAGAATACTGAGGCAGAGGATCTGCAGGTCACAATTTCCAGCGTGAATGAACAACATCATGACATTCTATTTTCTAAACTATAGGAGCAATTTTCTTTTCTTTTTTATTTTAAGCAATTTTCTCTTCAGCTATAATGCAATTCAGTAAAAAAGACCAATGTAATCAAATTATACGAATAAATGTTTTGTTTTTTTTAAACCAGTGTTTAAATCCACATTTGGTTCTGAGAATATAAATCACTTAATCCTTCTGAGTCTCTTTCATCATCACTAAAAAGGAGATTAAAAAATACCTGCCCTGATCTGAAAAAGGCACAATTGTAGAAAGGGAAAACAGATCAGTGGTGGCAGCGGTTGAGGAGTGGGTAGAGGGGATAATTATAAAGGAGCAGGTGGGGTACTGCTGAGGTGATGGAACTGCTCTGTATAGAACATGGTGGTAGGTCCACAATAGCCAAACTGTGGAAAGAGCCAAGATGCCCATCGACAGATGAATGGATAAAGAAGATGTGGTATATATACAACAATGGAATATTATGCAGCCATCAAAAGGAATGAGATCTTGCCATTTGCAACGACGTGGATGGAACTGGAGGGTGTTATGCTGAGTGAAATAAGTCAATCAGAGAAAGACATGTATCACATGACCTCACTGATATGAGGAATTCTTAATCTCAGGAAACAAACTGAGTGTTACTGGAGTGGTTGGGGGTGGGAGGGATGGGGTGGCTGGGTGATAGACATTGGGGAGGGTATGTGCTATGGTGAGCGCTGTGAATTGTGCAAGACTGTTGAATCACAGATCTGTACTTCTGAAACAAATAACGCAACACATTTTAAGAAAAAAGAAAAAGAAGAAGATAACAGGAGAGGAAGAAAAGGGGAGTATGTCAGAGGGGGAGACGAACCATGAGAGATGATGGACTCTGAAAAACAAACTGAGGGTTCTAGAGGGGAGGGGGGTAGGAGGGTGGGTTAGCCTGGTGATGGGTATTGAGGAGGGCACGTTTTGCATGGAGCACTGGGTGTTATGAACAAACAATGAATCATGGAACACTGCACCAAAAACTAATGATGTAATATATGGTGATTAAAATAACAATAAAAATTAAAAAAAAAAAAGAACATGGTGGTAGACATAAGACATGCACTTGTCAAAATCCAGGGAACTATACACCATAAGAGTGAATTTTACTGTATGCAAATTTTTAAAAAATCAACCAGAATATGGAAAGAAAAAATTCAATACAGACTGGACCAAATCAATCTAACTATACTACAAATGAATCACAAAATCACATAACTACTTAGAAGCTAACCTTAGGTAAGTTTGGAAAGCAATATTTTGACTGAATACTGTAATGTTAAAGACAGAAAGAACTGTACACAAACACTGTACTTAGTAGGTAAATCTGTTTCTCTCGGAGTATTAATTAGAAATTCTGGAACTGCTTTATTTGTATACTAGAATTGAACAAATAAGTAAATATATTGTGTAGATAATAGAGCCAGATTTGTCACCATCAGAGAAGAGTTACAACTTAGGGAAAGGGAAAAGGTTGTAACAAATTGGGTTAGCAGTATCAACCTGGTCTCTTAAAAAAAAAAAAATACAAGCACACACAAATATAGAAATAGATGCATGTATATGCAAGAGTTAGTATACAGACATGTATTTTCTATGTCTATCCATTGAGAAGGACTACAAATAGTGATATCCCAGTAACAATAAGCTCACCTAACACCTAAACCAAGACATTGGTTTCTCAATACCATTTTCCGATAAAAGAAACCATGGTTCCTTGGAAAACTGATTGATTCCAGGGCTGATAATCAGGAAAATAAGCCAGGAAAAATACAAGATAAACATGGGCCTGAAGTATATGATGCCAGAAAGTAAGGAAGTGCTTTAAAAAAAAAAGATAGGGTATCTCAAAAGGGCACAGAAGCTCCCAATGGCCAAAGTTGGAACAACCTGAGCAGGAAAGTAAGTACAGAACTAAATTATAACCCAAAGAATAAAATAAATGTTCATCAGACTATATATATATATGTATAGATATCTAACTACATACAAATACATAGAGAGAGACATGGAAAGAGAAAGAACTCTTCCTTACAGAAGAATGCAAATTAATCATCGTATTGGGAATGAGGGAAGTAGAAAAATCACCATTAAAACACCACAGTAGTAACTGCTGCATGCAAGACACATTGGTAAATGTTAAAGTAAATGAGTGAAAGTTTAATCAAAAGCAGGACATTTGTATAGTTTCAAAGTATCTTCTCCAAAATACTTAGTAATTACAAAGGCGGAAACAGTAATCTTACAGTGAGTAAATCTGGCAGACCATACCAAGAGATCAAGGTTAACATCACCAGTGACGGATTTGCTATCATGTACCTTGATGTGGTGTGCTTAGAAGAGAATACCATCTCCATGCTATCCTTCCCAACAAAGCACAATCTCAATCTAATCATGAGAAACATCAGATAATCTAAATTGAGAGACATCCTAAAGATGCCAGAAGAGGGGGCGCCTGGGTGGGTTACGCCTCTGCCACAGGCTCAGGTCACGATCTCAGGGTCTTGGGATCAAACCCCGAGTCAGGCTCCCTGCTTAGTGGGGAGTCTGCTTGTCCTTCTCCTTCTCCCTCTTCCCCCGTTCTCATGCACTCACTCTCTCTCTAATAAATAAAATCTTTAAAAAACTAAAATAAAAAAATAAGAGACAAAAATGCCAGAGGAGCAATCTTTAAAAGGGTCAAGGTCATGAAAGACAAGGAAAGGCTGACTATTTAGGTCAAATTATAGAACTTAGCATTTAGTCAATATTTTAATCTTTAAAATGCCTGCCCAGAATTGTTTTAATATCATGCTCTCTTTTTAATTTGTATAATGTTACCCTACACAAGAATTTAGGAGAAAACTATACCTGAATTTGCAAAATGAAAAGATTAGAACTGAATACCATTAGTTTAGCGCCCACAAAGGTCCCCTTAAGAAAAAAATCCTTACATTTAAAAAAATCCTCACTAGACTTTGAGATGTTATATCCTGGCTCTTCCTGAACCCACAGACAAACCCTGGCGGACACTCTCCTCCCCTACACAAGTCCCAGGGACTCTGCCTTCCCTCACAGCTCAGCAGTTACTACCACCCACCCAGTCCGTTGAGGTCAGGGTCCCTCAACACTAACTATTCAGGGAGACACAGCCCTCAGTTTCCCCAATTGTGGTGTTTTAAAGCCAAACATTAAGACCCTGTAAATATGTTAAAAGATGCTGTCGTAATTACTTAGGGGAAATAAAGAAACATATAGAAAACTAAAAAAGCTTAAGATCACTTTGTACAAATCTTACTAAGTCTGACACATTCATAATGTGTCCTTTATAGTTCCTAACTTCCTATTAATATATGTGGAAGAGCAATAGAGGAGAAAACTTTTGTAGTAAGGCAGACCTGGGTTCAAAACTCAGCCTGATTGCTTTGGGCAAAGGGTACTTCCAGTTTCAATTTCCGAAACTATATACATTGAGAACAAAATGCATCCCTAGCCCAGAGGATTGTTCTGAGAAGTCAACTAACCATAGAGAAGCTAAAGCACATAAAGAGACCAGGCACAGAATAGGTACCTAATATTAATTCATCTGATTAACTGGTTTGGGTGCCTTTAATAAAATATTGAGAACTAGGTACCTCCACACATTTCCTTTCTACTTTATATCCCAGTAAGATGAGAACACCACATTTTACTCTCACCTGCCATACCAACCCATCCTCTGCCTAGGTTACTGACATCATGATCTTCTCTCCCTAAACTTTTATAGCAATATACTTTAACTTCTTTTCAGAAATAAGTAGGATATAAATAGTTCTGTTATCTTCCTATAAAAATAAGTATGCCACCTACTTCATTAAGTTTGAGAATACATTTAAGATTATAGAGATAAACATACTGTGTAAATTATAATTATAATATAATAGTAAGTACAAGATGGTAGAATGCTGCAGTTTCTTAAAAACTCAGACCGCCTGCACTTCATATCAGCAAAGTAGTATGTTTTACACATCAAGGCAGATCAATTCCTTCCTCTCTTTCACTGTTAAAATTAACTTTGGAAAAGGCTGAACATTTCACAGAATAAATAAGCTAGAAATGATCTCTTTCTTCATCTTTATGTCTTAAGCAGATGCCAGGAGCAAATAAGAGCTAAGACAATTAAGGGTCATATTTTGTTAAACTTGTAATGTGTACGGACTAGTAATGTGCTCATGCCTTAACACGATTAACATTTTTTAAATTTATAAGTATTATTCTGAAAATTATAACTTTAAACAACTGAAAATATTTTTAAAACTATACCGTCCCTCTTAAAGTTCCCCTTAAAGGAAACCATTCTCTCATATAAGTTTTAAAACATTGATATATTGAAAGTTAATGAGTTGTTTTTAGTAATATTTCAGAATTTTAAACTCTGAAATAAACTGAAAATGATGACTAAGAATATTCTACAATGGTCATTATATCCCCTGGGTTTTCACACATTCTTGAGAGTTGTTTCAATGCCCAGCCCCAAATCCTGAAAGATTATAACCCCCCCCAACAAAAATACAATGTTCCAGACATACCTATTACTGTTAATAAGATTCCAGCTAATTAAACAACACACCATAACCAACGTACATACCATATCGCGGTGCTCCAAGTTGACCCCACATTTAAGCAGTTCTTCCACAATGTGCACGTGCCCTTCTTTTGACGCTGATATAAGCGCTGTCCAGTTATCCTTAAACGCACAGTCACCAATGTTATCATTTCAAAACCAAAAATAACAATCCAAAGTGAGGAAAAATAAATTTGAGTTTACATACCAAATGATCATACCAAACTGACATGATTTGACCCACTGTGAACTACTCTAAAATAACACTGCAGCGTGAGCTCTGTTAAGAGCATATCTGTGCCTCAGGCAGTGGTGCCGAAGTGCTTTCACAACTGCTTGGTCAGTCTTTTCACTGGACGTCTAATCATATACTGTGTTTTTTTTAAAAAAGAAAAGATGACTATCAAAACCTTAAAGCTAATCCTTGTGGCTGGCAACCATTACAATAAATTGAAATTAAAGAGCCTGTCATCAGATTTAAGAGCACATTCGTAGGCTATTAAACTAAGGTGATCCCATATGATAAATTTAGAAACTACGTGATAAAGAAAAAACTACTGTCCTTTTTTTTTAAATAAAGGCTACAAGTATCCAAGTATATGTGCTTCTATTCAGCCAGTGCCATCCATATACAAACATGAAGAGCTGAGACCTTTCATTTAAAGTAAAAATTTCTCTCCTCCATCACCCCTTTAAAAAACTGACTTAGCATATTATTAGTCAAAGTTAAGATAGATCTGAAAGAACAACTGTAATCTACTAATTTTGAATCACTTCTTAAAAACAAAGAGCAAAGTTAAGGAAAAGAAAAAGACAAAAAATAAGTAGATGATTTTAATATATACCAAATCTTCCAGATTGCAATTAGCTCCATTCTTAATTAACTCTTTCACTATTTCCAGATTGCCTTGCTCAGCAGCTATCATCAATGGGGTCTGGCCACACTAGAGAATATAAAAGACAAAGAAGGCTTTATGAAATGCCACAGTTAAATATACCACAGTTACGTTTTCACGACAGTATGTTAAACATTGTTTACAGAATTTCTTAAATTTAGAAACACCTTTGAAATCTTAAGTTTTCAGTTTGCTAATAATATAGAAGTCAAAGAGAAAAAAAAATTTTTGAAGATTTTATTTATTTGTCAGAAAGAGAGAGAGGGAGAGAGAGCACAAGCAGGGGAAGCAGCAGGCAGAGAGAGAAGCAGGCTCCCTGCTGAACAAGGAGCCTGATGTGGTACCCAATCCCAGAACCCCCGGATCATGACCTGAGCCAAAGGCAGACACTCAACTGACTGAGCCACCCAGGCATCCCTGAAACATTTTTTTACTACAGCATTAGTAGCCTGGTTTTGGCACTACAATTTCATTCAAAGTAAGTAAACATGAATACTAGGCTCTGAAAAGTAATTAGCACAATATATATAAAAATCTTAGCATATCTATAATACATTATATGTTAAAAAAAGAAGAAGATAGCAGGAAGGGAAGAATGAAGGGGGGAAATCGGAGGAGGAGATGAACCATGAGAGACTGAGAAACAAACTGAGGGTTCTAGAGGGGAGGGGGGTGGGGGAATGGGTTAGCCTGGTGATGGGTATTAAAGAGGGTACGTACTGCATGGAGCACTGGGTATTATACGCAGAAAATGAATCATGGAACACTACATCAAAAACTAATGATGTAATGTATGGTGATTAATAACATAATAATAAAAAAAATAATTAAAAAAAAGGTGCATATTGCCTAAAATTAGTGATCCATTCATAAGCTTCCATTCTGACTAGTGGACCACAATTGCATTCTGGGTTGTCAGAATATGGATGTACCAGTTTATTTGTCCATTCATTTATTGAAAAGCATTTTGTTAGCTTCTGGTGTTTGATTGTAAATAAAGCTACATAAACATTCAAAAAAAATAACCAAATTTTCTAACTATACCAGATAAAATATGATATAGAACATGATTTTAACTGTATATATAAGATGTTCATCAGGACAAGAGAGAGGAAAAGTAAAACAATAAATAAAAACAATATAGGTACTATATATAATATATATATCGTTTTTTAAGACCTCCCTTAAAACCTTAATTCATTAAACTAAAGCTTCTTCTAATTACACACTTGCCCAGCCTGCATGCCTAGAATGAGCCACAATAGTAAGAGACAGTACTTCTGAGCTCTGAGACAGTGCGGCAGGACCCGGGCAGCCAGGTCTGGGATGGGTTCCCTCCAGCAGCAAGATTCATCTACCCCAAGTACAATACACACGTGGTCAATCTTCTGTAAGTGCCATGGTATGAAACAGATGAGCAGCACTGGGCTAACAGTGATAGTACTAAAGGTTTACTAAGGTATATGAGAAAAAATTTACACCAAAAATTAAGTTCAATTAGACAAATATTTATTTAAGCATCTACTTATTATGTGTGTATCAGTGTGGGGGAAAATATCTGTGATTTTTTATAATGCTAATATGGCATCGTTTCTCTGCCTAAAATCCTCAGTGGTTTTCTATTGCTCTTTTGGATCAGAACCAAAATATTTACAGTGGCCATGGCAGGACTACCTCAAAACTTACTCCATGCCATTTCCTCCTCACCAACATACCCTTAAGCTCTTTCCCATCTCTGGACACTCACACAAAGTTTTCCCTCTGTCCCACCCAATTAACTGCCACCCATCCTTCAGCTCTTGGGTCAAACATCAACCCTTCAAGGAAGCCTAACTAACCCCTTCTAATCTTCCTTTACTATACTAATCCTTGTTTGTAATTACTTATATTTGTGTGATTAACAACTGATTATTGTCCATTTCTCCTAAAGGCTCTAAACTCCATGAGGGTGAGAAGCATGTCTGTTTTTTTTTTTTAATTTAATATTGTTTTCCCCAAAAAAGAGAGGCAAACCAAGAAAAAGACTCTTAAATATAGAGAACAAACTGATGGTTAACAGAGGAGAGACGGGTGGGGGATGGGTTAAAAAGGTGATTGGGATCAAGGAGTGCACTTGTCATGATGAGCACCAGGTACTGTATGGAAGTGCTGAATCACTAAATTGTACATCTGAAAATAATATCATACTGTATGAAAAAAATAAACATAAGTGTAAATGCAAAAATAATAATATAATAATAATACTGTATCGCCAGGGTGAAGGACAATGACTGTTACACAGGTACTCAAATATTTGTTGAGTAAATGAGTGAGCAAAGGCTCAAAGAATTTAAAAAAATCCGTCAGTGGCAACATATAAAAAAGCAAATAATTATAATAACTGACAAAGTACAACAGATGCTATTATAAGAATAATACAAGTAAAGAGTTAAATACAAATACTCGTTTAAACAAAGTTAAAAGTAAATCACATTAAATAGAGACATTCTTATATAACAATGGATACTAAATTATACATCATTCAACCAAAGTCATTAGCGAATGAGGTATGCACAAATAGATTTTCCAGGTGAAAAAATTTATCCTTTAAACATTAAATTTGATTATATATTTTATGATAACCGTTATTTTAAAAAGCAATGCACACATTACTTACTACTTGTTAAACAGATTACCTTAAACATCATGTTTACAATTGAGTCATAACTACAGACATCAATTATTACACCAAGCTTGCCTCTGTCAGCTCTAACACCCCTTTGACAAACTTTCTATAACATCCTTCTCCATTCTAATCGACTGAGATAAAAAGTGAGATAACAAAGTAATTGGTATAATACATAAATTAAAGCCAATTAATCCTGAATCCATGGCCCTAAGGATATATGAATTTCACATCAGAGTTTTCAGATTAGTAATTCCAGAGACTCAGAAGTTTTCTGTTTACTTTCTGGGGTCACATTCACATTTCAGATTGTTCACAGAGATAGGTGCTTCTAAAGTATGAGGAAAAAATAACATAGATGTGCATAAATACCTATAACACAAATAAGAAAGATGGTATAAATTTGATTAACTAGAAACAAGCCAGACAAAAGACTTGAACAGTCATTAGTTTCTCTCACAAAAACTATTATTTGTCTCTCCAGTACCCAGAGTGACAGGATTTTATTTAGGGGTAGCAATGTGCTCAGGTAAAAAAATCCACATTGTTCAGCTTCACTTGCAGCTGGAAATAATCCCATGATACTGCTCTAGTTAAGTCTCCCAGGACAGCTCAGTAATTAGACTAGCTCAGCCAGCATGTCTTTTTCCTTCTTCTTGCCCCATATGTGGACACAATGCTGGAGTTGTAGCAAGATGGCTGATATGCAGTCACCAGCACTCAGTGAGGAGTGGAGAGATGAGCAGAAGGAGCCTGGGAAGATATCCTGAAGCCATCATAACAATCTTGGAATGGTTCCTCCAGCTTGTCATCATGTGAGAAAAATAAGACCTTACTTTCATTAAGACACTGTTTTAGGAGCTATTACATGCAGTCCAATGTAATTCTCAACTGATAACACCTTTTATACCTACACTAATCAAAAAGATAAATAATTTTCAAAAAAGGTTACCATGAAGTTGTATTAGATTTTCAAAGATAGAAGAAAAGTTACCTTATAAGCTAGGCCTTATAACAAAACATTTATTTATTCTATTAGTTCTTGCTTAACCAATCTTGTAACTACACTTGTGGAGATAGAGTAACTTAGAAACAGCCATGACAACTTTATTCTTCTGCTTCAAAATGAATCACTAAAGGCCCCTTCCATACCTAATCCCACACATCCCAGTAAACCCCAAGTCCATTGCTTCCCAAAATACACAGAATCACATACCTCATGTAACCCCTACTCCACTTATAATAACCTCAAGCCAAAACACATTAGAACAAACACTGCACCAAATGAAGTTTCCCCAATAGGTCCCATACTTTCTCAGCTTCCCAGAAGACTACAGTGCAAAAATATTTCCTATTCAGCATCTCTTTGCTCTTCCCAATTCCTAGGTAGTCCTACTTCTATTTATTTAGATGTACTAGACCTCAATAACCATTGCCCTTTAAAGCAAACCTTTGGAGAATATATACTTCTTCCAATAATTGTAGTGAAATTAAAACATTTTTAAATTCTCCTTTGAAATGTCCCTCAGAGCCTTCTTCTAAGCACATAACAAAATGCATCCCTTGAATTTAGATTCCCACTTCATTTTCTTAGGAGAATACTGTCCAACCTCAGCACTATAATCTTGTACCAAGAAGAGCTGAGAGTAACTTTCTGTTCTTTTCGAAAAGGGAAGAGAAGGGAAGGGAAAGGGAAAGGGAAAGTGAAAGGAAAAGGAAAAAGGAAAAGAAAGGAAAGGAAAGGAAAGGAAAGGAAAGGAAAGGAAAGGAAAGGAAAGGAAAGGAAAGGAAAGGAAAGTCAAGTCTTCACTTCTCTACAAAGGGCAAAGATCTGCCATTATTGAGAATATTTACAGGCCACGAGGTACCTAGTTTACAAATAAAGCAGAGAGAAAAGAAGACAAGAAATTAGCATTTACTGATGACAGCCAATTGTATGCTAAACACAGTATGGCAATTTTCCCCACATTATTTTATTTTATTGATGTAATCTTTAAGAAACCTTTTCAAAACTGATAAAACACATTAACATAAAGTAATTAAATACTTCAAAGGGCAAGAAAGAAGAGAAGAAAATCCACACAACTTTACAGAATTCTATAAAGTTTAAATTTTATCAGAAGCTGTAGAAGCAAAATGCCAAAAAAGGCCTTGAGAAAGCTACTTTCTCTCCAACCCTCACATTGAGCCATAATTGAAAAATCCAGGTTGTTTCAAATCATTATTTTAAAACTCCAATTTCAAGTGATGCAATACTAAACTAGATATAATTACCATTAATATCTGGGGTGCCTGGGTGGCTCATTTGGTTAAGCAGCTGACTCATGATTTCGCCTCAGGTCATGATCTCAGGGTTGTGAAATCGAGCCCCTCATCGGGCTCCACACTCAGGGCGGCATCTACTTGAGATTATCCCTCTCTCTCTCCCTCTTCACCTCCCTCCACATGTGTGCTCTCTAAATAAATAAATAAATACTAAAAATTTAAAAATAAATACCATTAATATCAGTTAAATGCTACCTCATGCATGGTATCTAGTGAAGCTCTATACCAAATACACTTCATTCTTTTTTTTTTTTTAAGATTTTTTTAATTTATTTATTTGACAGAGAGAGACATAGCAAGAGAGGGAACACAAGCAGGGGGGGTAGGAGAAGGAGAAGCAGGCTTCCCCGCTGAGCAGGGAGCCCGATGTGAGGCTCGATCCCAGGACATGGGGATCACGACCTGAGCTGAAAGCAGACGCTTAACGACTGAGCCACCCAGGCGCCCCTACACTTCATTCTTTATGGGAATAAGATTAATATACTTCTGTGCTTATTGATGTGCTATCTTTTTCCTAAGTGAAGCTATTTTCTCAGTATTCCCATAGAAAATGTCTATGAAGTAAAATTTAATCTTTTTAAAATATCATTTTATTATTCCAAATATGCTAATATAGGCTAATGACTTTTGTAAATAACTCTTTATAACAATCTCCAATTACAAATTTTCTCTCTTATCTATTTAAAACAATTAGTGACAACACGTAATCACAGAAGAGTTACCTAACCAAAACATACTGTGTTCAATATAGAAACACTGAAAATATTGGCATATCATTAGATGAACTTATTCTGAAAACTCAAAGAATGGCAACAGAGCATAAACAGATTATAGCTTGAAATAGAACAGAGTTCAAATTTGGGTTCTACGAGATAATATCTGGGATAAGAAACTAAGGGCTTAAGCCATTTACCTGTAAATCAAGATAAATAACAGCATTATTCTTTACAGAGTTGCTATGCAAATTAAATAAGCTGATTCAGTAAAATCATTAACTATCATAAGGTTATTGCAATAACAAAATATCAAAATTTTATGTTAAGATTTCCTTATGACAATTAACATTTAATGAAATTAGGTACCCTATGTCAAAAATAATAATCATAATCATAAAGTAATAATTGCTGATTTCACAACTTTAAAAACATTTACAGTATTTGCATATTCATGTTCACAGCAGCACTATTCACAGCAAACAAGAGGAAGAAAAAAACCCAACTGTCCATCAACAGATAAATGCATAAGCAAAATTCAATGGAATAGTATTTAGCTTTAAAACGGAAAGAAATCAGAGCACCTGGGTGGCTCAGTCGGTTAAGCATCTACCTTCAGCTCAGGTCATGATCCCAGGGTCCTGGGGTAGAACCCCGCATCAGGCTCCCTGCTCAGTGCAGAGTCTGCTTCTCCCTCTGCCTCTGCCCCTCCCCACTGCTCATTCGTTCGTTCTCTCTCTCAAATAAATAAAATAAAATCTTTAAATAAAATAAAGAGGAAAGAAATCTTGTCACATGCTACAACATGATTGAACCTTAAGGATATTATGCTAAGTGAAATCAACCATCACAAAGACAAATACTGTAAGATTCCACTTATATGAGGTACTGAGAGTAGTCAAGTTCATAGAAACAGAAAGTAGAAGAATAGTTACCAGGAGCTGGAGAGAGAAAGAAATAGGGAGTTGCTGTTTTACAGGTATGGAGTTTTAGATTTGAAAAAGTTCTGGAGATATTTCACAACATTATGAACTAGACACACAACTGAACACAAATGAAATGGTTGGGATGATAAATTTTATATCTTGTCCCCATAACAAAAAAAATGAAACTCTTTACATGTCTACACACACAGATACATACATGTACACACATACAGACATACATATATATGTATCACTCCTCATTCACCTTAACCACGGTCAAAAAAATTATACTACATTGAAAACACAGTTTTAAGAAAGTTTTGTTTTTTGATTAAGTTTATTTATTTCTTTATTTTTAAGTAATCTCTACACTCAATGTGGGGCTTGAACTCACAATCAGAAGATCAATGGTCACATGCTCTTCAAGCTGAGCCTGGCTCAGCTTAAGTTTTATTTTTCTTGAATTTTATAAAATAAATACAAACTTTGGCACTTAAATAATTCATACTAAAAGTTTTTTAATCCCTAAAATGCTGTACTGTGGTGCTTCACGATGAAATAAAATCAACAGTTTACTTATTTGTATTGTTGAATAGAAATATCTAATAGAAGTTAATGAAAATGGTAAATATATGGGGGCCCCTGGGTGGCTCAGTCATTAAGAGTCTGCCTTCAGGTCAGGTCATGATCCCACGGTCCTGGGATAGAGTCCCATATCGGGCTCCCTGCTTGGCGGGAAACCTGCTTCTCCCTCTCCCATTCCCCCTGCTTGTGTTCCTGCTCTCTCTCTCTCTGTCAAATAAATAAATAAAATCTTTTTTAAAAAATGGTAAATATATACTTCCCTATCTTACTAAACAAAACCCACAACCTATTTAACTGTCTCTTAAAGATGCAGTCTGTTTAGGGGAAGAATGAAGGGGGGGAAATTGGGGGAGATGAACCATGAGAGACGATGGACTCTGAAAAACAAACTGAGGGTTCTAGAGGGGAGGGGGGTGGGAGGATGGGTTAGCCCGGTGATGGGTATTAAAGAGGGCACGTTCTGCGTGGAGCACTGGGTGTTATACGCAAACAATGAATCATGGAACACGACATCAAAAACTAATGATGTAATGTACGGTGATTAACGTAACAATAAAAAATTTTTTTAAAAATAATAAAATAAAAAAAAGATGCAGTCTGTTTAAAATCCCTAAGTGTATGGAATGAATATCTCAGGGAGAGAACTAAGTTTCCATTAAAGAAAATATTTTAAAAATTTTGTCTAGTTAATCTATTTCTAAGAGATTGGGTCTAGAAGCTCTCTAAAACTTCCTAGAAACACTTCAGACTTTAGTCATCAAACTTCCCAAATATTGATTATTCCATCTAAAAAAAAAAGAGTCAATCATAAATCTAAACTCCATACTCAATCATGTATGTGAGTTCAAATGTATTCCAAAAGTATGGAATTTGAAGTACTTTTAACAATCTTACCAAGCCTAAGAACTTTGTATTTCATACTCACCTGTATCCTTAGCACAATGCCTTGTACACAGTAGTGGTAGTCAACAAATATTCGTGTAAAGAATTTAATTTTAGAAACATGGTCTTAGGGGGTGTCTGGCTGGCTCAGTTAGTAGAGCATCCTACTCTTGATGCCAAGGTCGTGAGTTCAAGCCCCACATTGGGCGTGAAAAAAAGAAAAAGAAAGGAAACTTGGTCTTACCTCATTTCTCTCATCTACATCTTTGCATTTTTCAAGAAGAGCTTTGAGGGCAGGAATGTTTTCTTCCTCTACATAATTTATTACACTCTGTGATATCAGAACTGACATCTTCACAGAAAGCTGTATTTATCTTTATTCCAATACTGTTAAAAGCAGATTAAATAACACATAGTTTGTGATTAGGAAAAAAGCAATTTACTACTAACTATATTATCCTTTTTAACCTTACACTTGTCCAAACACACCTCCACTGGCAGGAGTAAAAACAAGGCCCCATAGTTCAGCTGTCAAAATGCCCACCCCTCCCTTCCCATGACTCACACACCTCTCAATCTTAACTCATCCAAAGCCATCCCTACCACCCCTACACAGAAGAAAGTGCTCCACTGTTCCTTCATCTCCGTAAACGGCAGGTCCAGCTCCATTCTTCCATGGAATTATCCATGACTTACCTCGTCCTCAACACTCTACATTCAATCTATTAGAGAATCCTTTTGTCTTCACCTATAAAACATATTTCACATCTAACTGCTACTCACCACCTCCATCACAACCACCCTGGCCCAAGCCACTGTGAGTTCTCATCTAGATCCCAACTGCTCTTCCTACTTCCATTTGCCTTGCCCACAGTCTATCCACCACCAGCCACCACAGTGATCTTTGGAAAACATAAGTCTGACCAGAGCTTCTGAAACCATAATATGCATCAGAATCACCTAGAGAGCTTGTAAAACAGATGCCTGGGCCTTACCCTCAGAGATTCTGATTCAGTAGGTGTGGGTGCAGCCCGAGTCTGCATCTTTAATAAGCTCCCAGGAGATGCTACCACTTCAGCTGCTGCCTGAAGAAGCCCACCTGGAGTAGCACTGAGTCAGATTCCATCTTTCCTTGCTCAAAGCCCTCCAATGGCTTCTCAAAAAATTCAAATCACATGTGTTACCTTGGTCTCGATGACTCTAACTGACCTCATCTCTTACCATTCCCCCTTACCCATTTCACGGCTTGAACATGCCAAGCGCTGTGCCACTTCAGGGATTCTGTCTGCCTAAATCTCTTCCACCAGAAATGCACACGGCCCCCCCCCTCACTTCCTTCACTCACCTGATTAGGAAATCCTAACCTGACCCTGTGATGTAATACAGTAGTAACTTCACACATCCTCCGTAGCGGTCCCCACCCTCCCACCCCCTTGCTCTGCTTTATGTTATCCGTGGCACTTAAACACCATTGCAGATATACCATATTGTGTGTTTACTGTCCATCTACCACTACTAGAATGTAAATTCAAAAAAAGTAGGCATGTCGTTTTACCCAACTGGACATCCAAAGGCAAATAAACAAGTCTCAATGCATACCTTGCACAAAACACATATACTAAAATTGACATAAATATCTAAAAGCACAAAACTTTTGGAAGATAATATAGACTATTTTGGATTAAGCAAAGATTTATTTGATATAACACTAAAAGCATGGTCCTCAAAAAAAGAAAAGTGATAAATCAGAGTTCACCAAAATTAAAAATTTTTGCTCTAAGAGAATAAAATTACTTGAGACTGGTGACGTCTTTTTTCCTTCCATTTTCCCCCTTCTTGAGCAATGTCAATTACTGGTATCCCAAGTTTGTCCCCTCATGTTTATAGCATATGACTTATATCTCAAGTTTCACAGGTTCACAGATGGATAGGAATCATGCCTCAAGACGGACTCTACCCAGAGCCTCACTCATACCTGATTTAGATTTAGAACTTGAGAGCTGATGAGATTCAAATGAGATTTTGAACTTTGAGTGAATGCTTTAATGAGCTGACACTTTGGAGGGCCTTGGGATAGGGTGATGTGCTTTGCACATGGGGTAGAAGTGTATCTCCGGGGACCAGAAGACTGAAACTATTCCACTGTATGATTCCATTTATATGACATTCTGGAAAAGGAAAACTATATGGACAGAAAACAGATCAGAGGTTGTCAGTCTAAAGGACGAGAATGAGGGGACTACATTAGGTGCAAGAGAACTGGGGAAGTTCTTGGACTGTTCTATATTCTGCTTGTGGTGGTATTTACATGATTATATGCATTTGTCAAAATTCAAAACTGGAGAGTAAAAAAGGTAAATAATATTGATGTAAATTGTACCTCAATAATACCTATTTTTCAAAAATCCTCAAAAAAAAGTTATGTTACTTGATCCAGTAACTTCACTCCTAGGTATCAATTCTAAAAACACAGGGAACATGGACAAAGATTTTAAATACAACATAATTTTATTCATAAGAACAAGAAACTTAGAGACAGGAGATGATGAAAGTTACGTTCAAACAGTGGAATAATATAGGGTCACCAAATGTTTCAAAAAATATTGACCAAAAAAAATGCTTGTGATACATTCTGTGGAAGAAAAAATTAACTAAAAAAAAAAAAACCCAACTACATATACAGCAACTCAACTATTATAAATATACACATTTTTAAATACTGAAATGAAACAGATCAAATGGTGATGGCATTAATGTAATTTTTCTTTTCTTTAGAAACTTTATTCCCCAATTTTCCAGAATGTGATACTTTGTTTTTCCTGAAGTATAATAGACATACAATATCCTATTAGTTTCAAGTATACCTCCTGATCCCCCTAAGTCTAGCTGCCATCCATCACCACACAAAGTTATTACAATATTACTGACTGTACTTCCTATGCTGTACACCACATCCCCAAATATATGATACTTTTGTCATTGCAAACCAGTTAGAGATTTTTATTAACCAATATCCAATGCCTTCATTTGTTCTCACATCTTAAAGGATCAAGTCTAATACCTCAGTAAGGCATCCAGGATCTGGTTCTAACTACCACTCTTCTCTCTTTACACCAGCACCACTTCCTCCCAAAGCCCAGCGAAGCTGACGCAAAGTTGTCCCTACCTGCATGCTGCTCCACACACCTGCCTTTGCTCAATTTACCCCTTCCATTTTGAACACCATCCTCACATCCACTGTATCAAAGCATCGACCACTCTCTCCAGAGTACAACCATTACCATTTTCTGTCTAACATGTTTCCTAACATCTCACATCAGCCTAACCGACTCTCAGTGCCCTTCTTTAGGGTCTTCACCATCTATACTAATCAAGACTTCAAGAGACAAATTTAAACTAGCTTAAGCAAAACAGGAAATTTATCTTAAGGATACTGATTTATTTCCCATAACCACACTGTGGGAATGGTGGGTGCCACTGCACTTCAAATGCCAGTAGAATTCTAGTTCTCTGTTGGCTTCATCTACTTTCATTATAGACCAACTTCGTCTACACAAATGGGAATATGGCTGCCAATAGCTATCTAGTCCCAAATCAGATAGTTTCTCAAAACAGAGAAAACAGACTATTCTTTGTTCCCAGATTCATTAAGTCCCAGGTTGGGTCAAGTGCCAACTGGAACCAATTTACTATAGTCACAGGGTTGGGAAGGGGTTACAAGGTCACATAGTGTTGGCACTGTTTCCAAAAAAGAGGAAACTGTTGTAATCTAGGCACCTGTCCTAAGAATTACTACTGTACCATCTCTCACCTGGATCAATGTGACAGTCCCCCAACTTATTCTCCTCTCTCCAGTCTTCCCCCACCTCAATCAAGTTGCCACACTGAAGCAAGGGTGATCTAAAATACGCTTCTTTTAAAATCCTTCTGTTAGTCCCCCATAAATTCATGCTGGGAGAACAAAAGATGATGGCTTTATTACTCACAAGTTGTTCAAAGGACTGAAACCCTCAAAACCTTTGAAAGCAACTGTAAAGATTCAATTCTATAATTTCTATGAAAAGCTTTGCTCTGTGCAGGGCAGTCAGGACTCATAAACACAATTCTGGATTATGATGGTGAAGATTTACAGATCCTTCAACAGTCTGGACCCATCTTACCATTCCAGTCTCATCTCTGTCTCCCCTCCCAGCCGCATCCCTCCCACCCTTGACCCAAAGCTGCTTCCCTACTCACATCCACTCTTCCAGGTCCAGGCAGACTAATCTGCTTGCAACCCTTGGCTGCCCCACACTTTCTTTCTTTCTTTACTGCCCCCTCAGCTTAGAAAGCCCATCCTCCACAGATATGCCTGGACAGTTTCTACTCATCCTTGTGGATTGGCTCTAACATGATCTTCCCCTGGATGCCTCCACTGACTGGCTGCTTACCCTAAGCTGGGCCAGTGCCCTGACTCTCAGACTCTATACCCTGTGGATACACCTAAATTTTGACTGCTCATATACCATTTTACTCATTCTTGTCCACAACTCTAAACTCCAGGTTCTTGAGGCAAGACCCACCTTATATGTGGCACAATGCCTACAAAATTGGGGCTGAGAAAGAGAAAAGTAGCCCCTGACTGTCAGGAACTGGACTGACATGCAGAGTTAGACCTTGGTATTCTCATGTGAAGATAAACATGGACAGCCGAGTGACTATGTAGTGTACACCCAAGAACAATGAATAGCATGGATGGAATGTTTAAGTAAAAAGTAAGCACCAAGACTGGAAAGCGAGAGTGGTTGGTTAGATCTGTAACTTCCTCAAGGATAAGGGCTGTCTCTCCTTTGTTCTTATATCCCCAGAACCTATCACAGGAACATACCAAGTAGAAACATCACAGGTAACTGTCAAATTGAAAAACTGCATGGGTGTACTAAACGTGCCTCTTCTGTAGGTCTTTGCCTGCCCATAGGCTCTGCTACCATCAACAGCCCTGTCTTCTACAATCAGCCATTATCAGGGATGGGCACATGATCTGGGACATGTGAATGCTCAAAAACATAAGCCGGGCCAATGAGATTCCTCTCTTTAGAACTCTTCAGATTCAGAAACCAAAGACTCAGTCATTATGGGCCATGTGCCAAATGATACAGTTTTGAGATAACCAGTCAGCAGAGAGAACCTAAGAGATACGAATAGAGAAGAGGCAGAAGTGAAGCTGCCTTGGACCCTAATTTCTTGCTGATTCTCATTAAGTCCTATAAATCTCCTTTTCCCTGAGGTAAGAGAGTAAATCTCTGTTCCTTTCCTTCTCAACAGCCCTGACTAACATACTGGCAGATAAAGCTGAGCAACACAGTTTTTGAGCAAAAGCAGGAAGAGGGAGATGGCACACTGGCATGATCCTAGGAAAGTTAATCTCCCAGCAGTGTATGTGGTCCAGGATAGAAAAACACAAAGAATTAGAACTCTGGACACCAGTCAGGGAACCACCAAAACAACCCACAGGAAAGGGGACAGGTGGTGAAAATGAAGAAGAAATGACAGATATGAGCTTAAACAATATAAAACCCCCCATATTTAAAAAAATACCCAGAAGAGAGGTTCTGGATGTAAAAATCAAAGAAACCATAAGACTGTAGATTTAAAAAAAGGATGACAAGATGCCAAGCATAGGTGACTGAAGGAGGGTGTACCCATTAACAAAAAAGGGAAGTCAGAAGGAAGTCAGGACTTTTCTCTCCAGGGTTATGGCCATGGGGTGCTTTGGCCAGGCTGAATTTGAGGTGCTCCAAAAAAGCTGGGTTGGTTAATCCACCCAGGATTTGTAAAAACAGATCTGGAGATCATGCACACAAAGAATGTAGAACAAGGATTCTCAAACTTGTGTGCACCAGAGCCACTTGGCAAATTTGTCAAATACAAATATCCCTTGGCTTCTCCGCCAAAGAATCCCACCGGCAGGTCTGGGGTGGGCCCAGAATTGACATTTTAACAAGCACCCCAAAATGATTCTGATGAGAGTATCCATGCGACTAAAGCTAGAGAACAAAGAAGGCAACCGGGCCGCAGCATTTCTCCCCCTTGGCTCTCCATCAGCTCCCGAAGGTGCTTTAAACATTTTTAGATGTTCAGTCCTCAGTGTTGTCAAAGTGTGGGCAATGACAAAACATCAGAGTCACCCCTGGAATCGGAAGGAGTGACTCCAGAGCCACACCCCAGGCCAGCTGAACGGGAATTTCTGAGGGTAAGGCTAGGAAAACGACTTTTTTAGCCAGCGCCCCTAGCGGCTAAAGGGATGGTTCCATAAACAGTTATTAATAAGAAAACATTCTTCGTTGGTTTAAACCTTTCTGTCAAAACAACTTGAAAGAAAAATAATCCAATATTGCTGGCTGACAAAGAAATCGTTTCCCTATAAATAAATCATGGAAGCATCGTAATCAACGCCTTGCTGATATTTTGCCAGGCACTTACAGGCCTGCACGGGACAATGGAGAAATGAAGCCCGATAAGAAAGCCAAGGAAGAAAACTAACCACCCCGCCCTCGGAAGCCCGGGGAAAGAAACCTGGGCACCTGCCTTAACGGTACCAGCCAAGGCGGGTCCCGAGATGGAGGGTGTGCGAACGGAGGCCGCACAAAAGAAAACAAATAGTGTCCCTGAGGCCCCTCCCCCCACCCCATCCCACCGCGCCCCACCCCCCAAGCCAAGCGCCTCTGCGCCGCCGCACACACCGACCACGGGAGACACCAAGTCCGAGAGCTTCCCGGCGCTGCAGCGAGCGCGGCCCCTCCGGAAAAGCCAGACCTCGAGCTCCCCAGGCGCCCAGCCGCGGGCCCCCACACCCGGCCTCGCCCTCTCCCCGCTCGGCCGCGGCCCTGCCACACGTGGCCTCACCCCCTCCCCCTCCGGCCGCCGCCCCGCCAACACTCGGCTTCGCCCCCTCCCCAGCCACCCCCTCCTCACCCGGCCGCGGGCCCCCACACCCGGCCTCGCCCTCTCCTCACCCGGCCGCGGGCCCCCACACCCGGCCTCGCCCCCTCCTCACCAGGCCGCCGGCCCTCCGCACTCGGCCTCGCCCAGCCAGGCTCCGGGCCTCGCCCCCTCCCCGCTGGGCCTCGCCCCCACCTCCTCTCCCCGTCATCCCGCGAAGCCGACCATCGCACTGACCGTCTCACAATCCGGCCTAAGGACCGCGCAGGCAGCTCGAAGGGAAAGGGCCTGCTCTGTGGCAGACGCTGTCAGAAGACGGGAAAGGGAGAGACTGAGGCTTCCAGCGCTTCGCCCTCACCAAGCCCGACGGCCATTTTCCTCCCTCTCCTCAAACTGACAGATCACGTGGCCGCTGGCGGCAGGGCGGGGCTGCAGGTGGCCACGCCCCCCGGAGGGCGGAGGAGCCCGAAAGCAGCGGGAAGCCGGTGGGCGAGGAGGGTGCGGTGCAGGGTCTGCGAATCCCCGGACTCAGCGGCCCTCCGCCCCCTCCCTGTGGGCTCCAAATGGTTGTATTTTTTTTCCTTTAAAATTTTTTTATTGTTATGTTAATCACCATACATTACATCATTAGTTTTTGATGTAGTGTTCCAGGATTGTTTGTGCATTAACACCCAGGCAGAACCTGCCCTCTTTAATACCCATCACCAGGCTAACCCATCCCCCCACCCCCCCTCCCCTCTAGAACCCTCAGTTTGTTTTTCAGAGTCCATCCTCTCTCATGGTTCCTCTCCTCCTCCAATTTCCCCCCCTTCATTCTTCCCCTCCTGCTAGCTTCTTTTTTTTTTTTAACATATATTGCATTATTTGTTTCAGAGGTACAGATCTGTGATTCAACAGTCTTGCACAATTCACAGCGCTCACCATAGCACATACCCTCCCCAATGTCTATCACCCAGCCACCCCATCCCTCCCACCCCACCCCCCACTCCAGCAACCCTCAGTTTGTTTCCTGAGATTAAGAATTCCTCATATCAGTGAGGTCATCTGATATATGTCTTTCTCTGATTGACTTATTTCACTGAGCATAACACCCTCCAGTTCCATCCACGTCGTTGCAAATGGCAAGATCTCATTCCTTTTGATGGCTGCGTAATATTCCATTGTATTTATATACCACTTCTTCTTTATCCATTCATCTGTCAATGGACATCTTGGCTCTTTCCACAGTTTGGCTATTGTGGACATTGCTGCTATAAACATCGGGGTGCACATACCCCTTCAGATCCCTACATTTGTATCTTTGGGGTAAATACCCAGTAGTGCAATTAGCTGGATCATATGGTAGCTCTATTTTCAACTGTTTGAGGAACCTCCATACTGGTTTCCAGAGTGGTTGCACCAGCTTGCCTTCCCACCAACAGTGTAGGAGGGTTCCCCTTTCTCCGCATCCCCGCCAACGGCTGTCGTTTCCTGACTTGTTAATTTTAGCCATTCTGACTGGTGTGAGGTGGTATCTCATTGAGGTTTTGATTTGGATTTCCCTGATGCTGAGCGATGTGGAGAACTTTTTCACGTGTCTGTTGGCCATTTGGATGTCTTCTTTGGAAAAATGTCTGTTCATGTCTCCTGCCCATTTCTTGATTGGATTATTTGTACTTTGGGTGTTGAGTTTGAGAAGTTCTTTATAGATTTTGGATACTAGCCCTTTATCTGCTATGTCATTTGCAAATATCTTCTCCCATTCTGTCGGTTGTCTTTTGGTTTTGTGGACTGTTTCTTTTGCTGTGCAAAAGCTTTTGATCTTGATGAAATCCCAATAGTTCATTTTTGCCCTGGCTTCCCTTGCCTTTGGCGATGTTTCTAAGAAGAAGTTGCTGCGGCTGAGGTCGAAGAGGTTGCTGCCTGTGTTCTCCTTTAGGATTTTGACGGACTCCTGTCTCACGTTTAGGTCTTTCAACCATTTGGAAATGTCTATTTTTTGCGTGTGGTGTAAGGAAATGGTCCAGTTTCATTCTTCTGCATGCGGCTGTCCAGTTTTGCCAACACCATTTGTGGAAGAGACTGTCTTTTTTCCATTGGACATTCTTTCCTGCTTTGTCAAAGATAAGTTGACCATAGAGTTGAGGGTCCATTTCTGGGCTCCCCATTCTGTTCCATTGATCTATGTGTCTGTTTTTGTGCCAGTACCATACTGTCTTCATGATGACAGCTTTGTAATAGAGGTGGAAGTCCGGAATTGTGATGCCGCCGGCTTTGCTTTTCTTTTTCAACATTCCTCTGGCTATTCGGGGTCTTTTCTGGTCCCATACAAATTTTAGGATGATTTGTTCCATTTCTTTGAAAAAAGTGGACGGTATTTTGATGGGGATTGCATTGAATGTGTAGATTGCTCTAGGTAGCATTGACATCTTCACAATGTTTGTTCTCCCAATCCATGAGCATGGAACGTTTTTCCATTTCTTTGTGTCTTCCTCAATTTCTTTCATGAGTCTTTTATAGTTTTCTGAGTACACATCCTTTGCCTCTTTGGTTAGATTGATTCCTAGGTATCTTAAGGTTTTGGGTGCAATTGTAAATGGGATCGACTCCTTAATTTCTCTCTCTTCTGTCTTGTTGTTGGTGTATAGAAATGCCACTGATTTCTGTGCATTGATTTTATATCCTGCCACTTTACTGAATTCCGGTACGAGTTCTAGCAGTTTTGGGGTGGAGTCTTTTGGGTTTTCCACATACAGTATCATATCATCTGCAAAGAGTGAGAGTTTGACTTCTTTGCCGATTTGGATGCCTTTGATTTCTTTTTGTTGTCTGATTGCTGTGGCTAGGACTCAAATGGGTGTATTTTTGACAAGTGCCACGGGCAATATTTTCTTCCTTGTCAGTGTCACTCTTTTATTATAGTTAATTTATAATCCCTATTCACCATTGTCATCAAAATTCAGGCAGAGAAATAAATCCAATTATAACTTCAGAAGACATTGCTAATACATTGCAAACTAAGGCCTGCTCAAGTGTCTTCCTCCGGAACCCAGAGGCCAGGTGTCCACCCTGTCCGAGCGCCTGTGGGATCTATATCTATCCTGGTCTTCCAGAGAGCCTACCTCCTCCCTGCCCATCTCCCTGGGCCCCTGGGCAGCCCTGGCCGTCTGGCCTCCACCCGGTCTGGGCTGAAGGTACCTCGGGAGTTGCCCGAGGCCAAAAGCAATTGACAGCTTTCAACTCACATCCTACTGTGGACACCTTTCAAGACTCCCTCCTGTTCTGCTCCCTGGGCGTCTGTGACTCCCATTCTCCTAGTTAGGCTCCCATTTCTCTGGCTGCTACTCTCAGTCCACCTCCTTTCGACTGTTGATGTTTCCAGAGTTCAGCGCAAAGCTGAGCTCTTTGCCCCCACACCCAATGTGATCATCCTCCTGTGCTGCTCTGGTCTCGGGACCAGGCTCCTGCCCCCATCCACCGAGACCGAGACCGGAATTGGGAAGTCATTTTATACAGCTCTCCCTCCCCTCCCCAAGGTCATCCTATCAGCCACTTCATCACCCCGATTTAATGGCTGCAGAAACTCCCCACCAGGATTATCCCAATAGCCCCCAACTCTCTCCCTGCCTCTGCTGGTGCCCCACTAACTGGTTCTCCAGGAGATTGCTCCCTTGGGTCACCTCTTTGATTAAATTCCTCAGCAGCCTTCCATTTCCATAGAATAATTTCCCAAAAAGTACTTGACATGCAGGACTCCTCAGGAGCTGGCCCCTGCCAGACTTCCTGCCGTTGCTGTGTCCATTAATCTCCTCCTATCCTGCCTCTACCCCCAGGATGGCAAGTATTTACAGTTCCTGGAACATTGAGCCATCCTGGGTCTCATCTCCATCCTTTGCACAGTGTTGTTTCCTCCCCTAGACGTTCTTCCCTGTCTCTTTGTCCAGCTGATTTCAAGGGATGCTACTGAAGTGGTCCCCAATTTTGTGTAGCTTCCTGATTGACCCCAAGCATAGGCGGTCAGTCCATCTACTGTATCCACCTTCATACGCCACAGTGCCTAGAGGTACTGAGAGAGCTTGTGTTAAAGCATATTTAACCTGTTTACCTGTCTTACCCCTACTCTAAGGTTCACTCCGTCCTTATTCCACATCAACTCCCTTACCCTGTTTGGAACAGTGTCTGGCCTTAGTAAGCCAATAAGGAAGAAACTACACTATTTACAACCCTCTCATACGATTTGGGGTACTGCCTCCTTGTCTCATGCATGTCTCGCCAACATCTGACGGAGCCATACTCTTCACTGGCTTTTTCCAGGAGTTGCCAGATTGATCCCCTGGGAAATACTTTTCAATGGTCCCCAACCTTGGCACATCAGAACCATCCATGGACCTTCTTAAAAACTAAGACCATGCTCGGGGATTTAAAAATATCTCCCCAGCCGATTCCAATGACATACCATTCTCAGACTTGGGTTTGAGTCCCATTGTGTCCAAATCAGTGATTTCAATACGAACATACTGTTTTCATGTCTAATAATTTTTTGAGGGCCTACACAGGATAGCAGGTGACGTTTTAGTAACCACTGATTGTAAAAGTGACATGGCAATAGGAATGTGTGGTTTCATAGGGATCTGTAGCCCCAGAATGGCAATCTGCACTCTAAACATAAGGTACTGAGTAGTCAGCAAGGCATTTGACAGGTTTTTCTGATGAGTGGGTGGACACAAAGAGAAAACGTGGATTGGGTCAAAAGGCACTGAAGATCTTGCGGAAGTGTGTTGGCTAGTGAAATGATGACTCAGGGAGATGGGGTTCTTCAATCTTTGCATGCCTTCGCCTGAGGGACACCACTGTGAGAGGAGCTGCCCCCAAGATAATCCCTACCTCACACCACTTCCTCCAGGCCTTTGCACCCCATAATTTTTGCAAGTGCAGCAGCATTGCTTGGTTAGTGCAACTGCCCCTCCACAGAAAGGCCAGGGGTTTCTGCATCAGCTGACCTCTGCCCACCACGTGTGAGCCATGCTGAGTGACAGTGAACCAGCTCACCAGAAAGCCTCTCTCGGGGTAAATTGGAATAGGGGCAGGAAGCTGTCGTTCTCCAGCTTCAGTGGTCCCAAGCCCCTCTGCACTACAGCAGGGAGTTCTCATTTAAGAGCCTTGCAAATCCCATTCTAGAAGTGGGACATTCAGTCCCAGATGTTGAAAAGACAATTGCTTTTGCAACTTAAACCTCCTCCCCTCCTCCTCTCCCCAAATAAAAATCCCTGAAGATACTCCGTGTACAAGTTGTGCTTTTAGGAATATTAAAACAAAAAACAAAAAACAAAAAACAGTCCAGATAACCGCCTGGAAAGAAGCTACAGGAAACAGGCTTTACTCCAGGTCACATGCTAATGGAGGATGAGAGGAGGGTCAG